AATGGTCACATTTTATTTAAGGGAGGTAAATGATGGTAAGCTTTTGCTAAGCTCTTGCTATAAAGGGAGACAATTGATGGTCGAATGCTTTATAAGGGCGTTTAGTTATGCTAATGAGTGTGTATTTGTTCATGTGAATATATTCATATGTAATAATTATGTACAGATTTTGTAAAACAAATGTATAGATAAAAAAAACAGTGTATATATAATTATATAACATGCATTTTAATGTGATTCCAGTATATAAAGAAATATCTTTAGCATCTTTTAGATGTTAAATATGCTTTGTAACTCTTGAAGTAAAATTCTTCCAATGAAAGAAAATGGGTTTTGTCATCTTTTTGTGCACCAAAGATAATATATTTGTTTTAAACCAAGGTTTACCTGGGTTCAAGCCCTAATCAGGCCACGACAATGTTTCTTCATATGATTCTAGTATAGGCTGGTTCCAGGAAGCAGACTCGAAAGTCATCAATATAAGTTGCAAGAACTTGTTGTTGCAATTGAGCTTGAATTAATATGTTTAAACCAAGGATTACCTTATTAGCTCCAGATTAGCTCGAAAGTGCTCGGAGGTGAGCTTTTATGATAGCAGTGTGTTGGTCATTCGGTGTTGTTCACAAACATCTCCTAAACCATTTGATGGATTTTGACCAAACTTTACAGGAATTATCCTTTGAAAGATGGTTTTCTACAGAAGTTTTATAATTGGGTGCAGTCTGATGCATAAAGCAGATCACAGGAGCTAAGAATAGAATTTAATGTAAGATCTTAAAAAAAAATCCCCAAAACAACAATACCCAGAGTTTAGATGTTTGGCACGTAACATCATCTTGCGGTCCTCTACATAAGTTATATTAATCATGACCCTTGGCTCAAAATTGGCCCTGCCTTGAGGATCATTTTGTTTATGTAGACTTTTAATGGAAATTACAAAAAAAAAAAAGAATTATACATAAACCTTTATGAAACTGCAATGTCAAGAGCTTAGGTATTTGGTTTGTTGACCTCTGAAAGCTATATTAGTCATTTCCTTGGGATGAAATTGGCTCTGTCCTAAGGGTCTACAAAGGTATAGTAAAATAAATCAAAAATATTTTTGCATGGAGTATCAACATGTGACTTAGATTATAGACTTGTAAAGTAAAAATGTCTTTAAATCTCTGACAGTCAAGCCAAGAGCTTAGATATTTTGCATGAAGCTTCACTTTGTGGTCTTCTTTAAAATGTATATGAATCATGTACCTGGTATCAAAACTGGCCCACACTGGTGGTCACATAAGTTATGTAGACTTCTATAGTAAAACAATTAATTAATTAAAATTGAGAAAATAAGAATCCCTAAAGAAAGCCCAACACGGCAAAATTGAAAATGTTGCAGGCTCGGTTTGATTAAGCCTGTTCATGGGCGATACTGTCGAGTGCAAACTACCCGTCACGCCCCCTAGCACCGACTAAAGCAGAATTCAACATGAACTGGTACAATTTAGAATATTAAAACATCCGCAGATGTGTTAATATGGCGGTTATCATGGAACCTTCATTGTGACACGTAAGTGCCATTTCATGAAAAGCGGCATATGGTCCCCAATTAAAAAATGCTTGTACCCTAAACGAGAAAACAAAGGGCGGAACTACAATGTAAATAAAATGGAATTTTGAAAGGGTATCTGAGGTTATGAAGCCTGCACATATCACATATATGACGTCAAAAGACAAAATTAAAATGCAGGCCACATATCCTAAGGGTGATTCAACAGTATTTAAATGAGAAATACTGAAAGCACCCAACAAGAAAAAAGTCGAATAGAAAGAACTAAATTACCACAAGCACAACAAAAATGTGCTGAACGATCTTTAAAGATCGGAAATATAACATCTCTGATTGAATGAACGGGGCGACTTTTTACAACATCCACACGACACAAACAACGCTGATGTGAAATTACAATGTAAAAAGCTTGGCTATTTGTCATGAAGCATTTTGTAGCAGGCATCTACAAATATTAAAAAAAAATGCAGCCTGGAGAAAAAAAGACAAGCACAATGTGAATGATTACTTGCTAATGCATCTCAGGTGGGCGATCCAGGGCCATCATGACACTCTGGTTGAAGAAAATGCGAAACTTTTTTATCCTGAGCTATTGTTGTGACCCACTTGCTGACATCTGCATTAACCTTTTTGGTTCAGATTTTGTTTATGGTCATTAATTTCATTACTAATAACCCTGAATTATATTGAGTCTTAGTATTGGATGCACTGTAGTAAGTTCTACCGGTCACGTCCGTTTTCATATCAAAGACAATGTTGTAATAGCAATACTTAGAATTGCTCATTTAATCATTTTTTTTTACTATTCAGAGCTGTGTGAAAGTCCTAAGTATATCTTAAGTCTTAGGACATGAAACTAACGTTAAAGTCAGTGTTTGCTACGGAAATCAATAGTTGCTTAGGAAAATGAATGGTTGCTATCAAAGTCACTGGTTAGAACTAACTTAAGAAAGTTTCAATGAACGTTTTAATCTTTGACAGTCAAATACTGTAGACTTAATAAAACTGTTAATGTAAGAAAGAAATCAGGAGTTGCATGGTGGCTTATTTTTGTGATTCACTGTAAAGGAAATCTATCAATAATTATCCAAAACTCTGATTGTCTTTGAAATACCCCCACCACTTAATGTTTTACTGCACATCAACTTGGAACTTCATAGATGGATATATAGGATTCAGTGAGACCAAGAACCATCACTGTTTCGTAAGTCAATGTCATCTATCAACATAAAACTTCGTATTAGGTTTCTGACAGAAAGGCATAAAGTTGTTGTTGTTGTTGTTGTTTTTTAACCAGGCTAGACATTATTTTTTAAAGAGAAAAATAAAATGTTTTAGCCCCAATCTATGTTTGTATGAGGTCAGCACATTGAATAAAATCGTTGATTTCATTTGGTGAAATGAGCAAATATTTTTACATGTACACTATTTCTGTAGAATGGTAGAATTTAAAGGTGCTACACTGAGCTAGGATCAAAAGAACATTAAGAACATTAAGCCTAAGAACATTAAACTTGAAATTCTTGGATAGATCAAGTGAAGCACTTAACATGTGTAATAGTGGTCATCCAAATGGTCTCTTTCCGGTGGCGAGAGAAAACAAACTCAAACACACACACAATAGTGGTCACTTCTACGAAGTTTTTCTTACGGCCAGGTAACATCTTACATTCAATAATGTACATGTACGAGGGATGATCAAAAATAAACCGGACTATGACTGGCAATTGAAGAATTTTCGTCCTATCACTTATTGTTATATATCACACTTAACCGGAAAACAATACCTGTAAACTGATACTATATCTAATCTGATAACGCAAATAGCTTGTTCGTAACAGCGAATTCAAAAACCATGGTAACACACACCCGGCGCAGTGCGTAAATTCGCCTTGACATCAGGCACTTTATGCTGCGTGTATTTTACAATATGGCACATTTAGATTTCAAAATACGCCAAAACGTCATGAACCATATCTTTGACGTTGTCAGTAAAAATGACCTCATTTAAACCATATTTATATTTACAGTCACAATTCAAAGGTCACATGTTAGTGAAATACTCGCGTTAAAACTATGTCGTCGGAATGTCTAGAAAATCGATCAATATGTCAAAATTGTCAAATGTAAGACGAGAAACTGTTTAAAACGTAGAAAAAGATTATGGCTATCAAAGGAAAAGTTCCAGAATTCTAAGCATATTTTTGATTAGCTTAAAGGATTTAGAAAGGATAATAAAGAAATAGAAAACAAGTAAGGGAGAGACAGAAAAAAGAAAATTTCAAGGACGTTGGTGACGTCAATCGCCAAGACGTTGAAACATGACAGTCGATTGACTGCGGACATTTTCAACGATGTTCGACAGTAGCTTCGGGACGGTGCAGTCAACTCTGAGGATTTTAAAATGATGATAGTTAATGTATTAATTACATGTATTGTATTCTTGGTTAAAAATTGTATCAATTATTTTCTTATTTTACGCAGTAGTCTTATGGAGAAATTGAGTCAACAATTTAACAGTCATTGTTCAAATCGGCTGTGCGTTTTAATTAATTTAAAATTAGATGTATGACAATTTTGATCATAGTTGTATTATTCTGTTATTCTTTCGTATGTATGATACATTATCATTCAGCAACATTATTTTACATCATTTGTAATACATAATATAGTTAATTGCATGTGCGATTTTGTTCAACAATCAACTTACAGAAGGAAATAACGGAAGTTTGTGTCATTACAGGAGCTCTTTATCACCATTCATTCTATTACAATACAATATGATACCGACTTGTATAGAAATATATATAGGCAGTGGATCTGCCGCATCAACAACATGACTGTAACACATATTGGCCTACTCCGTGAGTGAGTAAACAGCTGCTCCGTTAAGGACAATACGCTTGTGACGTCGTTAACGTCAATTTTAAAGTTATACCGTGCGCCGCATTGCTTTACATGTACATGTCAATAACACCATAACTTTTTTCTTTGTTAATATTTCTTGTTGGTATTTTTTGTATCATTTAGGGGAAAGATTCCGATTTATTTTCCGTGTATTGTAATGTAAATTCATTTAACAGGTAAAGAGTCATTTACAAAGTCCTATTAATTTTTGATCATCCCTCGTATTTTGTCAAAGTTTGTATTTCAAAGTTTTTTTCTTAGGAAAGTTAGATATAACACGTTTGGTAAGTCCAATATTTCGAGGAATAGTCTTAGAAATGGAGAAATGTGCCGATCACCGGTATATTTTGTGCATGCTATAATGGATACTCGTTTCCTCTCGCAAAAAAATAAAAATAAAAAAAAATTAAAAAAGCGTCGAGGCTTGGTTTTTCGTGGGTTGCCAGTATTCTGATGACAAATATACAGTCAATGATTTTTTTCGTTAATTCTCTGTTTGAATGAATGTTTATAAGCTATAGTTTATATTGACTGCGGCCTGTTTCCCAGAGTTAATTCAAGTTTATTTTATAAAGGTAATTATAAGTAGCGGATTATTTAATTTATTATCATTATGAATACATTTTGTAAATTTATCTTTATTATATCACAATATATTTTGGTAAACAACAATAATAACTACTGTATACTAGTATGTTATTGCATAAACTATGTCCATGTTACCCAAATAAATGCGCCTCATCAACGCAAAACTGTTTGTTTGTTTTGGTTTTGGTTTAATGTGGTGTTTGATACCACTATAAAACGACGCACATAAATATGCATTTCTACATTTAGTTTATAATACTTTCAAACAAAAAATACTTCAGCACAAACATAAAAACATAGTTCACAACAGGATAGAACAATATTGTGTCAATTTAAAAAAGAAGGTAAAAATGACGAGATCTGTTTTAAATTATATTAAAACATTCGACAAGACTACTAAGACAGAGAGAAAACATGTCCACAGAATTGGTTGACACATTATACACGACGCATCTCTAACCGTTGATGACACTGAAGTGGTTGTTGTTGTTGTTATGATAGAAGTAGTAGCAGTAGTAGCAGCAGTAGTAGTAGTAGTAGGAGGGATGTTTGTTGACATGCGCGTCTCTGAAACCTCCGTGACCGTGATAATAAGCTTTTGTCTTGGCACACAGACTGGTGTTCCAATTTTTAGATCAAGTGTTTGCCCTGTGGTCGACAATGTTACTTTAACAATGCCAGTTCCGCGGACAAGAGTCAGTTTTGTGCTGACGTCATCGCACGTGACGTCTATGGAATTCCCTATATAGTCAATGTCTTTCAGCCTTCATATGAAAGAAAAGAAAATCGTGACGTTTCTTATTTGACATATATTATGTAATGACGCAATGATTGGATCTTTGAGCTATGCATTTATTTTGTTAGGACTCCATCTTTAAGCTATATTACATTAGGATGCAATCTTTCAGAAATATTCTATAGAACTCAATCTTTGTGTGATGTTACATTAGAAAACAATCTTTTCTACATAAACTCGTTCAATAACTCCATTACTTTCAGTGCTCGTATTATTAATCAGTTTTTATATAGTCACATATATATATATATACATGTACATGCATTCAAGTACACAAGTAATGTTAGCTATGCTATATAACCCATTAAAGCGGCCTAAAGGTTAAATATGTTATTTTTATATAATTCGTTTCATATAATTGTCACATCAAATAATTACGGTAGAAAACGAAATTTGCCGACGATAAAATAATAATTAATAAGGAAACCCCTCAATACCTAAAATCTATCGTTTCGCACAATCGTTTCCAAATCTTCTATTTTTAGAAACGAACGTCACTGACGCTTGTGACGCTGTTTCGAAGAATAATAATGATAATAATTAATATGATGCAATTTTTCAAGATAAAATTACTGAAATACTTAGTCTGAAACTACACAGAATTGTTTTTTTCTGGCAGAAAATAAAAGCTGAAGGCTGCTTTAATTTACCTATACGAAGAGGTATCAGGAAACGGTGAACAGTTTACTGAAAGACTATCCTTGTTAAACCGAACCCCTGCATAGCCAAAGATAAGTGAATGTAAGTAACCTCCCATGCCAGTAATAAAATTTGTCGTGCCGCTGCCATCAGCGTTCTCCGTCCAAATCTGAATTGAAGGTATATAAAGTTACATAGATTAGACAATAACACAATATATTACAAAATCGCAATATATGTTACACGGTAACAACATAGACTACTCGATTACTTTAAAACTTAGACGGTATATAACCGTGTACTCGTTACACAATTACACTATTACTATATTGGTTTGACTTCAAATCCCCTGTTTTTTATTTACACCAAAGGTCACATGGTAGAACTACTTTCAATCAGTATTATCTCCGGGATGACAATAAATTATCTGCGAGGTGTTCCAAATTATAGATGTTATTCAATGTAAGCTGCTTTATTTCTATTCAGACTAGATCTAATTGGAAAATTTAATTTTATTCGTTTTTTATTGAAACTGACCATCAAAATAGTAAATATTTTACATTAAATGGATCCCGCCTGTTCTTTAATTGATCATAAAATGTTGTATTGGCCTTGTCCAATTCTCCAATCTCTAGCCATCCAATGGTAAACATTCCCCATGACATGGCGGGCCCTCCTGGCGTCACCTGTGAATATAAGTAGTACATAACGCTAGTGATTTTGCAATGCAAATTTTATCTAAGTATTATATCATCCACCTATATATCTTATAGTTTATTCTAGAAACGATATTGTATATCCCCTGAATTCTGCTAAACTACATTGACATTTGTGTGCAGGTCAAGATGACGATTTTGAGGACTTCTACCAAAAAGGTAGTCTCAAATCTAATTTCAAACATTGACAATCAGGAGAATCAGCTTCAATAAATTCCTATCTTACTTTTAAAACATGAAAAGTATTAATAACTTAGAATATATGAAAATATTGATCCAAATTGCACATGTTCCATTTACAATGGTATTTAGTTGCAATCAATTTTATACAGTATTTTTTACTCGTTATGTATGCATTACTGTCAATGGTATTTGAAAGAATGAAAAACAATTTGTCCAATGTCCATGCGACAATAGTTTTTACCTTTTTTGTCCACGCAACTATAGTTTTTACCCATTTTGTCCACGCAACAATAGTTGTTGCCTATTCTGTCCACGCAACTATAGATTTTTTACCAATTTTGTCCACGAAACTATAGTAATTACCCATTTTTTCCACGCAACTTTAGATTTAACCATTTTGTCCCGCAACTATACTTTTTACCCATTTTGTCCATGCAACTATAGCTTTTTCCGATTTTGTCCACACAACTATAGTTTTACCCATTTTGTCCACGAAACTATATTGTCACGCAAGAACGACAACTAGTGCAAGCCCCCAGTCAGATTTATATGTATTTTTGTAAATTTCTTTCCATTAACTGCTCACCTTTGCATATATTTCAAGATCATTTCGTCTTATTTCTTCAGACATGTTCATCTCCAATGGCCATCCTAACAATATAACATCTGCCTGTTTTACTGTAATACCTGAAATAAAATTATTAACTTATACATTACAGTAAACTACTGGGTTCGTGTTAATTTAAGGTCGAACGTTTTCCAATACATTCATAATAAATGGATCAGCGACTTCCACAAAAATATCTTTTGACTTAACTTCAGTCAAGGCATTGCACGTTAGTCAAAGTTGCTATCCAAGCTTTCTATTTAGAGCAATGGGATAATTCGTGGATTAAACACCAACATGACGTCAAATGTGGCGGCATTAATCAATATGACGCCTACTTGATTCTTTCAAAAGATATTACTTCACATACGTCTAGAAATTTGTAAACGAACAAGCAAGCCTCTGTGAGGTTCAACTAGTTTCATTGAAGTCATGGACACCAGATTCTATTGATAATTTCTTACCTGTAAATGTACAAAATATCAAGTAAGTCATTACCTGCAGGTGCGCACAAGTTATTCAATCCTAAGAATGCACTTACTGGTGTTATAGCCGTCAAACTCGGGGTGATATTGTCGGCTGCTATCAAATGGAATTTTAATTCTACGCGCAACATCCGCATACTTTGGTGGCACGTGACATCCGGTTAATTCACAAACGTATGATGGAAGTAACAATGATTTTTGAGCGAGGAAGTTGGTATAAACGGAGTTGTTTACGGGATAGTGGTACTCATCAGGCGGCATCACATCTGGAAATGGTCACAAAAAAGAAGCTTATGAAAAGAGGTTCTTCTCGAGTCATTAAAACTAATTAAAAACACAAACGTTCACTTTAAAATACATGTATAATTGTATATTATTAATATATTAATATCATTTCTAACTTGTTGAATCAAATTTTTTGAAGTTTATTTACAAATTTATTTTAAATTCATAAAACGACCATTTTGTGTAGATCTATTTATTTAATTCCACAGAACAATACAGAATAAAAATTAGATTTCTAATCTACTTTTAAAAATATCAAACTTTTTTAAAGACACCTGTAATTTCATATACGTTCTGTGTTTTATTGTTTACAGTGCGAGATATCCAAAAGTCCGCTATATCAAATATGGCCTCCTCAATACGTCCGGTTTTTAACATTTGCACATCTCTTGTAGTCATTAGGTACTGTTGAAAAGCAAGCGCTACGTCACCGGATATATGCACCTCGTATTCCCCGCACGGTCTACTTGGCGTCACATCTAACCCTAAGAAGCATTTTTTTCAAAAATATAATTCAAAACCTTATTGCAAGGGTTAGACATGCTAAATACATGTACTAATCAAATAAATGTCGTAAAAGGTGTTTACCAAAAATGTTATATGTGTCATGCATGACGTCATAGGAAGAGCGGGAAATCCAGAAGTCAGCCATTGCAAAGATGGCGTCGCTCATGTTCTCATGTAATAGAATCCGAGTATCATGGGTTAGCATAATATACTGCTGGAACGCTTGCGCAACGTCACCGGTCACGTGATCTTCATACTCGCCGCTAAACCATGGTGTAACGTCAAACCCTACGTTTGTGGCGTAAAAACATGCAAACGTTACATAATGATATGCATTAGGATTATGAAAAAATCTAGCTGATAGAAAATGCAAGATTATACACGATTCTATCTTTAGGCATGCTATGTAAGTATAGGCTGGGGAATTAATTACGAACATGCATCCTAAGAGCAAAAAAGCAATAAGAGAACGTTCAAGTAGAATATACGAGTAACAATCATAAATCTATATCTAAAAAATATTTTATGTTAAAAAATGACTTAAATTATAGCAGACGATGACGACGTTTTATATTGATTCATTGCTGGATCTAGCAAATTATATATTTTAATGAAATATGTCTAATAATCTTCTTAGGTGGCAAAATCAATGTTTTCACCATAATGGCAACTTTTCAGCTAACACGGCTGGGCAAAGATGGTCTTCTGTGCATTATTTTAGGCAATTTGGTAGAACGACAGTACCATTAGCTCCTATATTTTATAAGTCAACTCTTGGAATAGCGTAGATTCAAACCAATGGTTGGTTATTGACATATTGTTCCGAGTTGTCACCCTTGCCACACGGACACGGGGCAGATATTAATCAAAAGTACCTGACAAAGCGCCTTCCCAAGGGAATCTCGCTCCGGCAAAAGAGGTTCGTTTCGCATATTCCTTGGCAGAATCGAGCACACGAATACGTGTGTTAACTATCGTCCTTCCTAGATCAGAATTGAGTAGTAATATAGGCGTAAACATCCATGTATCCTGATCCCAAAAGATGTGTCCTTTATAACCCTTAAAATAAAATTAGAAAGATTTAAAAAGGAATCAAACAAAACTCTCCCAATTTATTATATATTAATTTTACTTTACTTATTTCTCATTATGTGATATTACTTTAAATAATTGGTGACTACAAGTTATTAAAGAAATTTGGCCTAAACATACACCCTAGCAGGCACACCAACGTTGTAACAACGTTGAATTATGGACAGATTTCAACGTTGAAATACACACTATGTTAGGGTTTTAGTGTAGTTCATATACATGTATAATCATTTGATATACTTTTTGAGCTCATTTGATATAGTAGTAGCTATTTTAGCTCAATTGTTATACTGATATGAGTAGTGGTTAAGCTCATTTCATAAACCAGTACTGTGTAAGCTTTTTGATATCTTTTGTTAAGCTCATTTCTTATAGTAATCAAGCTCATTTATATAGATAAAGTGATATGGTATAGTTACCATGCCTACTCATTTAATGTAATTGTTAAGCTTATTTTCAAGATATTCAATGCTTATGCAGTTTATATATATGTCTATGTTATTTAAAATAATTGCCTAGCTTATATGATAACATTGTAAAGCTAATTTAGTAACGTTTATCTCAACTTTGAAGCTAACTTACTTGACACAAATGTAAATCGTATTTGATAACATTGCTATGTTTATTCCATATACAAGTATAATGATTTTATGCCCATTTGATTAATGGAATTTAAACGGATTTCATGGAAGCTATGAGTGCTTAGCAACAATAACTTATTTAATTGGCACTGAGCATATTACAATGCTTGATTGAATGATATATTTACGTCATGAGCTAAATCCGCCGGTGACAATCCTACGAAAGGCCAAGTCTTTTCCTCAACCGTCGGCATCGCACTAAATATATAATACAGCGAACTATAGGTCACTGCCGACAGGTAGGTGTTGCCGTAAATGTCAACTCGACCAGCGTCCCAAACCTCGTGCCAAGCGTTCCTATGAGATGATTCCAAAGTATCGTTAAGCTTCATTTCAATGCCTGTGAGGAAAATGTGTTTATTGTATAAAGTCGGCATTTTCCGTAAATGTCCTCAATTTATTTTACAATACATTATGGTAAATGTTTATTTATTTATGATACACAAAGAGATGTCCAATAGCATCAATATTATTATCGTCGTCATCATCATCATCATCATCATGATATCATCAACATCATCATCATCATCATCATCATCATCATCATCAACAGAAATGATTGGAAATAATGAAACGCGCGCACACCCGCTAACAAATGCAGAAAAAAATAGAATCTTAAATTATATTAAAGCTCAAACCTTGTATGTAAAATTTCTTAGTTTCATCCTTATAACGACCGACAGCCATAAGAAAAGTGTGTTTAACTGTTGTAGTTTTTCCCGCCCCTATAACAAAGCTGTTCGGAACCCGACTATAATACACGTGGACTGGCGTCCGTCCTGATTCCGGAGTTTCAGCAATCTTCGTTAATCCATGCATATACCTAGATACAAAGCATTGTTTTTGGTTAATGCTAAAAACATGACTAGATTCTATAATTGGGAAAGAAAATGATTGATAAAAGCAATTCTTGTTGTTAATGTACTTCTCATTATGGTAATGGAACGCTTAACGCCAGTAAAGACCAAGACCATTTTTGTAATTCTAACCAGACCATATATTACTGGCTACCCATTTATATACTTTGATGTTGATATTCTCAAGACTTAAAACAGAAAGTTTCATTATTAAAAAGCCTCGTATATCCCACTATACTAGGGCTTACAGTTGCTAAGCAACGAAAATGCATATTCTACGCCACCGATGTTATGCAATCGTCTAGAGGTGCAATATAGTTAATACAAAAAGTATATAGCAGATTGCAGAGCTTTAGTACCTTTTTTTTTAAACTAAAATTCGAAAGTCAACAATACACAGTTACAAAATTCAACATAGTACAAGTCCATCAAACAGTAAATTTAGCTTTATTGTTGAGGACGTTCAAATATAGTTTTAGTAATATTAGATATACTGTTATTTTTCGAAAGTGAAAGCTCCTATTTACATGGTATCGTTTAGTCCGCTAGGTGTACTTGTAAAATCTATATCTACGCTGTCATTTCCTTTCTTAACGTCCAAAGATACGGACAATCTGGAATGGTTCCCGTTTGCCTGGACAGTGAGTTCGGTAACCAGCAATCTGGACATAGTTCTGTGAGCATATATCTTTAATTCCATGGTCCAGTGATCACCTTGGTAAGTCTCCACATATATGCCTGTGTAATATTGCACGTTCATAACTTAAAATATTTGGAGTTATTACAATACTGAATTGTTTTTAACTCATGGAAAGAAAGATTCTATAACATCGTTTTAAATTCTTATTCTATATAAGACGGTAACATGGTGCAATTCACAAGCAACGTCTGGACGAAAATTATTGGGATAATCTTTTTTTTATAGTACTTATTTGGGTCATATTTCATAGATATACTACACGTATCATCTGAACCTACACACACACACCCACGTACAACCTAACAGAAGGAAAATCCATTACTATATTGATACGAAATGACGTTGCTGACGTTATGTAATTAGAGATCAAGTGTTATTCTAAATACAAGTAAGCGTTTAATAAAGGCACCTTGATCTGCTTGTCACACCTCTAGGTACCACTTAAACTTTATTGCAAAACATACCTTTATCCAACTGAAGACAATAAGAAATCTTTGAATATGGAAGATTTATTTTGCTGACATTTAATGACGTCATAGCGGGAATTCTGGCTCGTGTCGAATCCGTCCCGTTACCGTTGTATAATCCGTTCATATATACGGTGTTGCTATGGACAACCGTTGCTACGTGACCATTTCCAACAGAAGGCCAAAGCTTTGCATCGCCGGGTGGTCTAAGGTTTTCAGAAGGAAAAAAAAACTTTAAATATTAATTTACCTCACGTTAAGGTTTAACACATTAAAGATCCTGTATGTTTTGCGATTGATATTGTTACTGTGTCTATACTACACTTGCAAAAAGTTATATATGATATAATTATGCAAATAAAACAATTTTCTAACATCAAAGAATATGTAAAATGTGTACTGCAAATATTTGTGCATATTATATTTAATCAATAAATTACATGCATCCATTTCTTATTGGAAAATTTGACTTAGAATTTATAGGAAATAAATTTCTAATTACCTCCCTTTATTTACATGAAATGTTAAATTTGGAAATATTTTTATAAATAATGCTTATTGGAACTTACAATATTGACAAATCTTAATTTGAGCATCATATTTATGAAATAAAACTATGAAAAAATTGTGTTACAGGATCTTTAAACTATTGTTTAAGATAATACAGGATGTAAAATATATTAAGGCAATATTTCAAAACCGAAAAGCTCATTCATTTGATTTAAAATGACACTGGCGGCATGTGCGCCAGATAGAGAAAATCACGAGCCGCTAATATCCAGTTCATTGTCCCACTTTACACTGTCCAAGGTTTATAGGAAATGATAAATCATTGCAGAAATAATTTAACTCACTTATCTGTACAAAGATTCCAAGAATCTGCGTCATCTTTGCCAATATTGTTCCAATTCAACGTCAAATCCTCAGAAGAACAAACTGTTTCAGAACGCACCGTTAGTAAACTGCGCAAGAAAATAAGCCAAATTGTCAGGAATGCGTACATCATGATAACTTCAGCAAAAATAATGTAGATATTTATGTATATATATTCCTCTTAAGATTTAACGACTTTGCAAACTAGTAGTTAATGGTCATGTAAATAAAGTCATTATATGTGACATCGTCTGTTGCACCGGAAGTTATGGTGTATAGATAGATACAGCAACGAGAATATGCCTACGTCTGCGTTATTATGTTTCTATGAGTAGTATGAGTCACACTGCTTTAAAGTACAAATTATATAACATACCGTAATGATAATAGAAGAAGAAAAAACTTTGATTTGTTAGATTGATGATAGATTTAAAACATACAATATATTCTTCTTTATTTGTGGGAAACAAATAAACAATTTAACCAAATTCAGTGGTAACTTCAGTGGTTGCTTATACTAAATAATTACAGTAGCAAATCATATAGTTCATGTAGAAGTTCAGAGCACAACATCTGTCAAAGATGCGGTGCAATGCTGGTCTTAGGACGTTTCGCATGTTTTCGGTAGTCCTCATCCACATTAAGTTGTAAATAGTTGATTAGCTCTATTTATTGTTTTATGTACATTTATAACAAGTTTATTGGCTATATTATTGAATTTAATGTTTCGATCTATATATAAAAATCCTAAGGTTATACAGCTCATAAAACCCTCGCTGATAGGCCTTTTAGAGGGTTCATATCGCGCAATACATCAGGCGTTCTAGCCTCAGAAAATACAGTAAAGCTCACCAAACACACGATGATAGGCTTTTAATGGTTCTTATTGCAATACATCCGACGGCCATACCCTCAATGAATACAGTATTTCACCAAACTCATGGTGATAGGCCTTTGAGGGGGTTCTTATCCGAAATATAACCGGCAGTCATAGCCTCAGGGGATATGATATAGTAAAGTTCACCAAATAAGTGTTCTTATTACAATACAATGGGCGGTCATAACCTCAGAGAATACAGTAAAGCTTATCAAACCCACGGTGATATTCATTTCAGAGGGTTCTTAACGCAATACACACGGCGGTCATAACCTCAGAGAATACAGTAAAGCTCACCAAACCCATAACGATATGCCTTTTAGAGGGTTCTCATTGCAATGCAACCGGCAGTTAAAGCTTCTAAAAATACGGTCATAGCCTCAGGGAATACAGTAATGCTCACCAAACCCATGATGATAGGTCTTTTATAGGGTTTCTGTTGCAATACAACCGATGGTCAATAGCCTCAGGGTATACAGTAATGCTCACAAAACCCACGGTGATAGGCCTTATAGAGGGTTCTCATTCCAATACAACCGGGAGTTATAGCTATTAAGAACACAGTAAAGATCACCAAACCCACGGTGGAAGACCTTTTAGAGGGTTGTTAATAACAAATACAATACAACCGGCGCTCATAGCTTCGGGGAATACAGTAAAGCTCATCAAACCCACGGTGATAGGCCTTTAAGAGGGTTCTCATTGCAATACAACCGGCAGTTATAGCTTTATAGAATACGGTAAAGATCGCCAATCCCACGGTGGTAGACCTTTTTGAGGGTTCTTATTACAATACAGCCAGCGGTCGTAGCCTCGAGGAATACAGTAAAGCTCCCTAAACCGACGGCCTTTTAGAGGGTTCTTGTTGTAATACAACCGGCGATCATTGCCTCAGGAAATAAAGTAAATCACACCAAAACCACGGCGAAAGGACTTATAGAGGCTTCTTTTCGAAACACAACCGGCGTTTTTAACCTCATGGAATACAGTAAAACTCACTAAACCCACGGTGATAGGCCTTTTAGAGGGTTCTCAATGCAAAAAAAATGCGGAGGTCATAACCTAACGGAATACAGTTAAGCTCATAAAAGCCACGGTGATAGGCCTTTTAGAACGGTCTTATTACAATACAACCGACAGTCATAGCCTCGGGGAATACAGTAAAGCTCACTAATCACACGGTGACAGGCCTTTTAGAAGGTTTTTGTTGTAAAACAACCGGCGGTCATGGCCTCAGGAAATACAGTATATCTCGGCAAACCCTCGGTGATAATCAGGCCTTTTAGAGGATTCTTATTGCAATACAACCGGCGGTCATAACCTCGGGGAATACAGTAAAGCTCACCAAACCCACGGTGATAGACCTTTTAGAGGGTTCTTATCGCAATACAAGCGGCGGTCATGGCCTTATGAATACAGTTAAGCTCAACAAACCAACGGTTGATAGGCCTTTTAGAGGGTTCTCATTGCAATGCAACCGGCGGTCATAGCCTCAGGGAATACAGTAAATACCACCAAATACACGGTCATATGCCTTTTAGAGGGTTCTAATCGCAATACAACCGACGGTCTTAACCTCATGGAATACAGTAAAGCTCACCAAACCTACGTGATAGGCCTTTTAGTGGGTTCTTATCGCAATACAACCGGCGGTCAGGCCTTATGTAATACAGTAAAGTCCACCAAACCCACGGAGATAGACCTTTTAGAGAGTTCTCATTGCAATACAACCGGCGGTTATAGCTTTAAATAATACAGTAAAGCTCACCAAAAGCACGTTGAGGATTCTTTTAGAGGATTCTTATTGCAATACAACCGGCGGTCATTGCCTCAGGGAATACAGTAATGCTAAAAAAACCCACCTCCATAGCCTGATGGAACACAGCCTTGAAAGCTCACACAATGCATGGTGATAGAGGATTTAGAGGGTTCTTGTCTTGACGGTGATTGGCCTTTCTAACCGTTCTTATCTCAAGTCAACCCCCTGTGATAGCGTAAAGCCCACACAACCCATAGCCTTTCTAACTGTTCTCATCTTGAGTCAGGCAACGGTGATAGTCTCAGGGAACACAGTAAGGGTCGCATAACATACAGAGATAGGCCTTCATAACAGTTCACATCACAAGTCAACCCATGGCGATAGCCTCAGGGATTACAGTTAAGCTCACTTAACCCACAGTAATGGGCCTTTCTAACGGTTTATATATCAAAGCAACCCACGGTGTTAGCCTCACGGAATAAAGTAAAGCTCAGAAAACCCATGGTAATAGTCGTTTTCAGTGGTTCTTATCCTTAGTCAAACTATGGTGATAATATCGCAGGGAATACATATAAAATCGCATAACTGTCGATGAAAGTTTTTTTTTTATAGTGGTCCTTATGTCATGTCAACCCCCAATGATAGCCTCCATAAATACAGTAAATCTTACACAACCCACGGTGATAGGCCTTATTATGGTTCTTATTTCAAGCCGTCCCATGGTGATACTCTCAGTGTATATAGTAAAGCTCACACAACTATATAACAGTGAATGCCTTTCTAATGGTTCTTATCTCATGTCAGAACATTTAGATAGCGTCAGGGAATACAGTAAAGCTCACATGTTACCCACAGTGATAAGCCTTTCTAAAGGTTCAGCACTTAATCTTGACTGGAATTATATCTTTGATTTTTGATTTTATGTTTAGGATATGGACTGAGTACGAGGTCTGCCTGTTTAAGAAAGACTTGGTCACAAATTTCATGTGAGACCGAGAGAGCGTAGTCGATGTACGAGGCCGATAACCAACTAACACACCGTCGAACTATTGGCTTGACCATTGGCTGATCCGAAGCATTTGATATAATGCGCAAAGATTTTTTTAACGCAACGCATACTAGTATACAGGTAATAGCTTTTATCTACGTTCTGCTTGAGAATAACAAATATTTTGCATTCAACTCTGCTTTTTTTCTTTAAAAATAATCATTTAGAATGCTAAATGTGCAATTTGTCAATATCAAAATGAATTGGTCTGTAATGGAAGGTATAAAAGGGATCGGGTTGAAAAGGCCCAGCCTTATTTACTAGGTTCATGGATCGAGACACTAGACGCCTGAGAGAATTGTTAGAGGAGAAGAAACGTGGCTTTATTTTTTGAGCCCGGCAATAAACTAAAAAACAAAATGTGGTTAGGTAAAAACAGCGATCGCTCAGTTGTTGCTCGACGTAGCATGAGGGTGAAATGAGTTATGAACGCTTATTTTTGACAGTGATGGAATAGAGGCCGTGTTGCCTTGCTGAAAAGGTAGTACCACTGGAACATTTTACCGTGACCATGTTCTCACTGCTGTTGATAATCACTACATAACAAAGAACCCAAGATCCGGGTGCGCAGGATCAAATTACTCCATGTTATCGCAGCTGTGCACCGGTCTGTCTTGGTTCAAGCTTATTTAGAGAAGCGAAGAATTTAGGTTTCGCTACATCCCGTTCTCCTTGTGACTTTTAGTTAAATGCATACGTCCGAAACCCGTTTTGCCGCCAGAAGCGCTCCATACCAGTATATAAACAGTATACCCCAAAGAACAGTTCAAAATGCTTTTTTCGGAATGGATTCTGAGGCTGGAAAGTATATGTAGAGGTTCATGGTGAATATTTTGAAGGACTCTACTAATCATTTTTCACAGGTATGACTTATTTATAAAAATGCACTGCCGTTGCCACTAATTAAAATAAGCCCCTCCTATAGCAGACAATCAAGTGTTCTAGGACAAAATAGTGTTGTTCATCAGATAAATTATATCACTTAAAACTTTATAAACATTTCTTTTTTAAGAAATATTTTAAGAATATCCAAATTATACATTGTATATCAATCCGCTTTAACTACTTGTCTATGCTATCACTATAAGCAAGTTTTTGATTGTGTCAATTGCAAAATGACTTTAACGTTGTTGTGTAGCATTCTTTGTAACTAAGCCCTACTTTCGGAGGTTTTCGCCTGTTAGAAAGAAAGGCAGGATAAAGACTAGCTCAAAATGAGGGGCACCTGACAGGCACTTAATCGCGCGGGTGGGGATTTTATCAGGGACTTCGCTCTTAACTGTGGGTAGCGACTGCAGTTTCAAATAAATAGTGTACGTTAATCGGTCGTCATGAGAATCACAAAATGCGTTTTAAACAGACATATTTTTGTTGTATTTTTTCGATTGGTAATTTTGGTATATTTTTATGTACTGTACTGTAAATTCTCTAGAGCGTTTAAGATGTTATGGAATTTGTGATATAAAATGTCGCAATAAGAATGCTATGGTAACTGTTATAATTTCATAAAAATGAACTTGAAGAGTCCACTTTAGTCAAATTAGAATTTAATTTGTGCATAGATTAAATATTATTATTTTGAAAATTCGCACAATTAAATCAATATGTCTCAACTTTGATATGCTGTCCATTATTTTTATTTAAAGATTTAAATGTTTGAATAAAATTTCGCTAAGTGCATCCAATTAACATATCTTGTTAAAGAAAGAAAAATGTCTCCAAATTTTTTTTATGACAGGAATATTATGAAATTCATTTACATTTTTTTTTAATTGCTGATTACTTTTTATGTTTCCTTTGGCTGCGCATAAGCATATCTATATTTTTACGTGTTTTACATGACCGGGTCTGTACGACAAGATCAGACTTTTGCACGTGCAAAAGATAGACCTCATAACGGAATTTCCTTTGTTTTTTAAAGCTACATGCCTCCAGGTGAGTCAAAATATTTCAATAAAATCAAACTTGAGAAACATGTACTATAATTTTAGAAAATGTAAAAAGATTCAAGAGTCAAGTAATAATTTGCATGTTTTGTGAGATTAATGACTGATTTTTCAGTACTTACAACTAAATTTCTACTGCGTTACTAACGCAGAAATTAAGATATTTTGACGACTTTTTGGTAATCTACGTGGGTTGTAAGTGCCATTGAAAATGTGTTAATTGCTTCCTTTTGATTACTTCACAATATTAAACATTCAGAAACATTTTCAAAATTTTAATGAAAATTAGAAGGAATCTGGAGTTATTTGCTGCTCTAAAAGCAGGTCTATCCGAAAAATATATCTCCTGTCACAAACAATGGAGAAGGTTTGTAATACGTATAAAAATTAGTATTTGATGTGTAATTTAGTGGTTTAAGCGCTATTGTGTCAAGACAGTAATGAAAACAATATAACAAGAGGATCCAGACTTTTAGGCACGTGCGCATTGATCTTAAATTTAGGTCAGATTAATGTATTAATTTTCTGATGGATTTTCAGTATAAGAAATGACCCATTAACCTACTTTATAATTGAGTATTAATGCTAAAAATGTGATTTTGCTGATTACCTCCCTTTTCACTGATATTTTCTGCTGATCACATACTGGCATATATATTTTTTAAATGCAAATAATGAAAAATTGTCCAAGAGACTTATGAAACAGTTCATTTTCCTCAAGGGACCAATTTAGTTTAGTGTTTTAAATAGTTTACGTACTTTTTGTAAAAAAAAATATTTTCATCCAATCACCTGACGTTCCATTGAACCTCATGTTGTTTCCGGGATTAAAACATGTCAGCGCCCATTGACATGCAATATATTTTTGCCATAGGCACTCGGTTCCACAACCTTCTATGATTTTAATTTTTTTTCATATCATGTAGATCTCTATATAAAATACATGTACATGATATGAAATTTTTTTATAGAAATTAAAATCATAGAAGGTTGTGGAACCGAATGCCTATGATTTTTGCAAAAAAACTGCAATGTAGACCTGTGATTGTTGTAGTGTCAACCTGTTAGTTCGTCAAACTTAATTTCTATAATGTAGTTTTAATAGGTGTGTAAAGGTTTGATACAGTAACTATACATTACATGGATACTGGGACTTAAAATACTGGAATTACAGTCAACCCGGCCACAAGTTAACCCGGCCCCAAGTCAACCCGGCCTCAAAATTGGTCAACCCGGCCCCAATATTGGTCAATCCGGCCCCACAGTATATTTATTTGGTCAATGCGGCCCCAAAATTGGTCAGTGCGGCCTCAAAATCGGTCATTTCGGTCCCAAAATCGGGCATTCCGGCCCCAAAAAATATATCTGTATATTTTTCAAAGAAAAGTGATATTGAATAATTATATAACATCAACATTTTATGTACATCAACATTAATTCAGATGTGATAATCAAACAGTTTAAAGCAATCAATCAACAAAAAATTATAGCTGTAAAAAAACAAATCCTTTAAATAAGTTGGTAGTATCTTTCATGTCTTTATTCGATGTAAATTAAAGATGGTTTCGTGAGTGTTAATGCAATTGACCTTTTCGAAAACCTAGCTAAACACCGTTTTCTGGTACGTTACCATTTTAGCTCTGGGGAATTACACCAAATGAAGTACATAACACAGTTACGAGATATGTCTATTTTTCTATCATTATTTAACCGTTTAAGGTGAAAAAAATTGATGTTTTTGAAAATTATCAATATTAGTTTAATATCTATTGCAAATTATTCAAAAAAAAAATTGTTTATAAGGAAAATCAATAAAATTCAAACAGACGTAGTGGAATCTTCCATAATAAATAAGGTTATTTTCTGCGTAAACTTGTGTATTTACTTTATTTTTTGTATGGAATTATTCAAACAATGATATTTAATTATTTTCTTATAAAGAAATAACTGTTTTATTTCAGTTTAATTTAAAAAAAGGGCGAAAACATTGAGTTCGCTATTACACTCCATTAGGTGAATTCCCCAGAGCTATGTACAGAAAGTACCGGAAAACGGCGTTTAGCTAGGGTTTCGAATTCGTGAATAATTAGGAAGAAATGCATAGAATTTCGAGTTAAAAGATTTGTATAAATTAAGTTTCCGACAATCTTTTTTTCAGTTCATTTGAATGTTTTTATTGAATACGTTCATCAGTATAATTAATTTAATATTTGTTTCGTTTTTTATTAACTTATTTTCAAAGAATATTAATTTTACTGTGTAAAAAAGTATTGGAATATTACTAAACGTTTGAAAAATTAAAAATTGATATTGTTTTGTGTTTAATCACTTTATGTCATTATGACTGATAACTGTATTGATTGTGGATATATTGTGCGTGACAGAATAGATGAATACCATAAAACTCAATAATGTCTGGATACCTTTTCGAGATTAATGTACAATCTTAGAAAAATGTAAAATTGCCTCCTTTCTGAAATGCAAAATATATAAATCTTGATTAAACAATTTATTTCAACATTAAGTATATATCTCATATCTCATATTGTTAATTGCTAAATCTCATGAAGATATATTGTTAATAACTTCTCTGAAAACATTTTGTACTGCAGGGACTGCGTACAGGGCGAAGTCAGGCGAAAACTTCGCCGTAAATATTTTCACTTCGCCCTATATGATCTGAAAAGCGAAATTCTAGTCGCCCTAAAATCTCTATGAAATGTCTGACATGTATATTTCTCCACTCGATAATACTGCCTGGAGGCAGATTTAATTGTGTGTAATCTGACGTAATTAGCACACGCGCTGAAGCGTGGCCATAGCGACATTTAGAATTCACACTTGGAAATCCACATCGCTAAAAATAGCGCATTGATTATACGGTAAATTAAAGCTGTGAAAGACACTGATATGAATGCAACAGGTGATAAAAAGCAAGCTAATTGATAATTAAGTTACCTCAAACGTATATTTGTGTCTTATTTACAATATCCCTGTACGTTTTGCCGGCTCGCCACGGCGAGCCGGTATTACGGTAGGATTTTACTGAGAAACAACCTAAAACTCCGAAGCTATCCAAAAATTTAATCGAAGCTTGGCTTCCAGCTTTCTACAAAATTTATCTATCAGGGCTAGGATCCAAAATTATTTAGCCAATCAAATTTAATCTTACATAGCGTCAAAAAACCTTCAATTTTCACGCCATTTTTAAAAATCAGCAAGTATTGTTTTGAGCGCAAAGATATAATGATGATTAAAATGTTTGTCTTTATGAATTCTTTTCAATAAATCATATTTACACTGACTTCTGATTTAGCGATTTCACCTGTTTTCTCTGTAGTAAGTTTTCGTTTGGTTAATAAACATAAGTGTACATCTGGTTCTGTGCATTTTTTATTTTTCCTTTTTTCCGGTTATTTTATCCTTTCCGGTATTTAGTGTATGTATTTACTGGCCGGGATCCGGGACGCCCGGGATCCGGGATCGTATAAGATATGGAGGAAAAACCTAATGAACTATATTTGTGTTGATTGTTGTCGTAATGAAAGGCCATTAAACGTTAATTTTTTATTGTATATAATGAACGTTAAATTAATTTAACTTATAATATAGATATATTTAGAGCTATTTATTAACAAACTTAAAATGCGGGAATCACAATACTTATAATTATATGCCTAATTAATTGGAAAAATCAAAGACTATTTTCTTGAATTGGTCAAATGCCGGGATCCCTATATGTTTTTCCCAGCTTTTCTGAAAACTATATACTTGAACTGGCCAATCCGTTAGATCTATCTACATTGTAATACGATCCCGGCTTTTCTGAAAACTATATTCTTGAACTGGTCAATTCCCGGGATCCCTATATGTTTTAATAGGATCCCGGCATATCTGAAAAACATCTTCTTAGACTGGTCAATTTCCGGGATCCCTATATTTTTTAATAGGATCCCGGTTTTTTTGGCTGAATTGATTGACAACTTGTGTTTACTTTAGGACTTGTGCCTCTCATTCCAATACTAAATAACATACATGTATTGCAACTTAATTTTGTATAAAGAGACATCTTTATGAAATCTACCTATCTAACATTTTGTGGTCAAGGTCAACAGGCCATATAGTAAATGTGCGTAGACATAGGTTCTTCATTCAATCTGTTTACATGCACCTTCATATATACTCATACTCATCTTGGTTAAACTGAACTTTATATGTCACTTTCAGTCAATGAGTTTAAGATTTTGAATTTACTGGCCCGAATTCCAGTTTTGAATTTATTCTACTAAATAATTAACAAAATTTTCTTAAATTTACACTGGCCTGAACTTATATACACTGGCCATCGGGCACCGGGCCAGTGTTGACTTCACTTTTATTTTGATGTTCGCTGAAGTCTCTTCAGCTAACAGAACTGTCATTTTTACATTTAAACACACCCCTTGAAAAAAATTACGAAGCGAGTCGCTACTAGCTTTTTTAAAAGCTAACCTTGTGTTTGATTTACAATTTCCACTATATGTCCAGTTTGATTTACTAGTTCCCCTATATGTCCTGTTTGATTTACTAGTTCCCGTGTATGTCCTGTTTGATTTACTATTTCCCCTATATGTCCTGTTTGATTTACAATATCCCATATACGTTTGTTATCACCATTACCTTTATGATAGTAATATTCATCATTAAAACTGATGTAAATTGATAGAATTTGGATAATTATTATGAATTAAAGAACTTTTCTTCTTAATAAACTGCATTTAAAAGTTAGAGTCAGAAACTGTTGAACCTAAAAAAAAAATTAAAAAATGTTGTGTTGATGTAAATCAAATGCTTAAATAAACTTTATTGAGCAACTAGTACTTCATTAAATATCATCATAGCGATTTTCAAATACACATTTGTTTATTTTCCATGCCATATACATGTATATTTTATATGCATGTACATGTAAAGGTGTACATGTATATTTTGTGAAATACAATTAGAAAAAAAATCCAATGATATAACTCGATTTGATGATCACTTCTCCCTAAATTTCAAAACTTCTCCCTATTTTTCCTGAAGGGAGAAGTCACTTCTCCCTAAATTTTCAGTCCAAGGTAGTCCCTGGTACTGTATTATGAACAATTTATTGTAAAAAATACTAAATATGTCTTACATTTTACCTATATTATGTAATAATTGTAGAACTATACATTGAACATTGTAGAACTATGCATTGGACATTGTAAAACAGTAAATTATGCATGTGTTGCTTGTTTGTTAATATTGAAAGTTTTTATATAAAATAAATTATAAAAGATATCATCGTTAAACTTTTGTTGTTGTTTTTGTAATAAAAAACATGGGGCTGGGTTGACCAGAAATAACATTGGTTTGGGCCGGGTTGACCAATTTGGGGCCGGGCTGACTTGGGGCCGGGTTGACTTGGGGCCGGGTTGACTTGTACCGAAAATACTGTACGAGAACAGGTCAACTCGTCCCGTGGTCAATTCGTCCACAAGTGTAAGTCAGCTCGTCCACAAAGAGTGTTGAGCGTTGATTGATCACTGTGACAAATAATTATATAAAAAATACATAGTGAACGGTACTTTGGGGGATTCCGTCCTTTTGTACATGCGCAAAAGTACTTACATTTAAGGCCTGTTTAACAGTTTAAGGGTTTTTCACTAATACCACCTGTGTACAGGTACATGTAAGTAGGCAATGCAATGAAAACTTGTTTAATTATCAGACTTTTGACCTAAATTACTATATTAAATAATTTTATGGCTTTAATGCCTTAAATATCATGCATACAAGCAAGCAATTGCATATGAATGCGTTGAGGTAACGGTACTGAGTAATAGATACCAGCGTTTAGTCTACGCTCTCTTTCTTGAATTACATCTTGAAAATGGTCTGTTCAACAATTTTAAATAAAAAATAGGTCTGATATAACAACATTGTGTAATTATAATAGGTTATATTTTATGTACGGGAACTTCTTCTTTTCATACAAAATAATGGATAATTTGGGTACCCCATATGAAACCTCATAACTAAGGGTTCTTCTATGTTTAGAACATAATGGAATGTAACAAGCCGAATATTGATGTGTAACATTCATTTTTTTGGTAAAAGAGGGTAATAAAAAATAATTTTTAAGTTTGTACAACTGAACTGCTGGCATGCCAGTAAACTCTAAAAAGTGATACTATATAACTGTTCGCTAGGTCTGTTTAGCGATCCCAGAGTCTCCCTTTATTCTATGTAAATATGTGCAAATCATTTCTAACATTGTTTGGTATGAAAGTAGGGAATTGAAATTCAGTTTGATGGTAGAAATGACAGATTGACAACACAGTTAAAACAGATTTGCTTTGTTTTCTTTTCAAAGAGAAACATAAATGCCTAGAAAGAAGCCATTTAGCTCGAAGCAGAAGAAGAAACAACTACAAGAAAAAAGGCAAAGAAAACAAGGTAGGTCCGACGTCTTGGAATTTTACTTTATCAAATAAATCTACTACGGCGGCAGGGGTTTTGTAAGCATAAGTAATTTCATTTGGCAATTACAAAATAAATGTAACTTGCTCTTTTCACAAGAATCTTACTGCAGAAACCGGGACATTGCTTGTATGTTAACACAGACTTTCAATTCAGGGTACAACTTGTTGGTCTTAATGTGCATAGACATAGTTTCTTATCAAAGAATCGAAAAAAAAGATTTATAAGACATAGATTTTAGTCTCATAAATATTTTGGGCAAAACTGTAGCAAGCATTCTAATCAACACATTGATTTAAATTTATTTATTTTTTCATAACATTTTTATAAAATACAAATCTTGAATGTATTGCAGCAAATGGGCCTGCTTACTTACAAAACAGTTCCGACAGTGAGGGGTCTGGTACAGACAGCCAGGCTCATGGAGGTAACCAAAAGGTGCACCGTGATAATGCAGCTGAGAAAGCAGGGTTAGATACAGGGTTAGATGTGCTGGAGGTTAACTCACAGCCGTACAACTATTCCCATGGCAAATATGATCCAAACAGGTTTGTTGTCACATATACTTTTAATGTTGTGGTTATGACAATAAATAGATACCCTGCTGAACTTGAGTAATAGTTTTGAGTAATGTTTCATATTTAATTCTACATTAAAAATATATTGTTTCATATTTAATTCTACATTAAATATATATTGCATGCAGTACCTTTAAACTAGAGTGTAAGGCTCCGCCTACTTAGTGTACTGACCAATTGACTACATATTGTTAAACAGTCTTAGAAATAAACTCATAGTATCAACATCTCTTATTCTCTGCATCCACACCAAAATAAAGCATAAAACAGTTATGACAATAAATAGATACCCTGCTGAACTTGAGTAATAGTTTTATCCAGCTTAGAATTGAAAACATTTCATATAAAGTTTTGTGTAAGGAAATTTTAATATCAAAATACGAAAATTTGGCCACCAGCTCTTTAGTCTAGTAAGGTTGAAAATTGGTTCAGGCTAGCCTGGTGCTATACTGGTGGCAAAGGTAATTTTCTGTTTCAACAAGAGAATCATAGACTTAATATCAGAGATTAGTTGTGGTGGAGAAAATTTGCATATCCCAAGTATTGAAGTAGCCACTCCTGAATTACTTATCTGATGCTCTCCCTATTGAGCTAAATGGGCGGATTTTGTGATTATGGTAAAAGTCTATCCAAGACAATGCACTTCTTCAGTCATGACTGTATTTTCTGATTTAATAAAATCAGTTAACCCTTTCCCCCATGAGCATATTGTGAAAAATGGCCGTTTTCACTGAAAAGCCTCCTGTAACAAGTTCAAACTGCTATGAAACTATGAAAAATGCTTCAATACTAATCAAACTTGGCACAAATGTTGACTGGACCATTGCCTTTGTAAAGACATGCTCAGTCTTAAATTTCCTGTTACCATGGCAATGAGGGGACATCTCAAAATTGCCAAAAATCACTATTTTGCCTCGATTTTTTCCATCAAAATTTATTTCAAAGTGCTGCAACTGCTCAAGGGATTGAGATAGAGTCAAAGGCTTTTCAGCGTTGGTTAAACATTACATTATGATCGACCTGGGGTCATTTTTAGCCTCTCACAAGTCCAAAATTTTCTTGGCGATGAGGGGGACTCCGCCCACCTTCAATTACCCCCCTAACAGAAGGGGGCACATCCCCCTTCTGGCAACCCCCTGATGTATCTTTTGGATGGGGCCCGGCGTATATATGTGGTAAAGGGTTAAATTAGTCTGATTTTTGCCATTTATTAATACATTGTTAATAGCATGTTTTGCCATTTATTAATACATTGTTAATAGCATGTTTTGCCATTTATAAATACATTATTAATAGCATGTTTTGCCATTTATTAATACATTGTCAATGGCATACTTAATTTAGCTCACCTGAGCATATATAGCCAATTCTCAGTTGTGTTATCTGGGGCCATTGATGATGTTCTTGTTTACGGTTAGAGTTACATGTGTTTTACTAAATGTACATGTCATTTTGGAAAATTTCAGTCCAAACATGAAAAATGTCTTATAATACTCCAATCTCCACGCAGTTATCTCCCCTTCTACGGCATACAGTACTGATCAAGGGAAGTAACTGCTGTGAGGAGTTTGATAATACTCATAATACATTTAATTTATATTGTAACAGATATCGTTTGCACTTTTTCAAAGAGAGTAGAGATGATATGGCCAAGAGGAAGGAGAAGGCTCGACACCCTTATAATCCCTTACCAGAGGTAAGTTGTAATTCATGATTTACAATGTACAGTACAACCTCGGCACAGCAACACCCTTTGGGAGACAAAGGTGTTGATGAAAGGTGTTGCTTGCTTAAACTAAAGAGTTGCAATCATTTGTGAAGTTGCACTTTGGGAAGGATTGAGACTGCTGTTGTAAATAGGTAATTGCTCTACAGAGGGTTGCACTGTGGAGGTGGCACTGTATGTCTTTTATGTGTTTGTATGTAAATGTCAGTGGTATAAACTATGTTCAGAAACAAGCCCTTTAACCCTTAAGGTGCTGAACATATTTAAAGCCCCATTATGCCACAGAAAGGCTATCAATTTGATTTCTCAAAAACTCTTGGTATCTTGTTACAGTTTCCAAAAAAATACTCATTTTTCTTATGCATGAACTATCATTTGCTGCTTTTACTCTGTCAGCATTTGATATACATGTAATAAAAGTGAATTAGTATTTTGTATGGAAGTCAAAATATTACTTTGTTTACATTTTGCTTTACGACACATTACTTGATGTTCAGCAGTTCTTTCTTCAGTATTTTAAAATGTAACATGCTCTAAATTAATTATTGAAACATTATTAAACACAGGTTTGACATTTTTAAAGAATTAAAAATATGGAATTCTGAGGCATAATGTGCCTTTAATGAACTAGCCTAGCTTAATATTTAGAACAGTCCATTTGGGGTTTCAATATCAAAATACAAAAACTGAGCTACAACTGTGTAAAACCTGTGGCTTGATTTTACACAGTTGTCAAAGACTTTTCACTTTTACTTCCAACAGACTAAGGGATAATGAGGTGGTGGTGGTAGTTTTCACTCCTGTTCAAGGCAGTTATCCACATTGACTTTACCAGAGTAACAGCACCGTTCCTGGCCAGGCTGTCAAGCAGTTTACTAGTACTAGTTGCCTTCACTTTTGCAAGGAACTGATCTGTACATGCCAGAGCAGAGGTACAGTGCGAATGACCGTAGAAAGGATTTCATGATCAATCATAAGGAAAGTGACCTGCACTGTCTGGGAATCAAACCCGGGTCACTCAATTCACAGTCCAAGGCTGAACCTACTGAATTAACTTGACAGATTATGATATAATATACAATATACATTTATGTATAAAGATGATTTTCACATGATATGCATTACCTCCCTTGAAGGCCATTTTTTTAGGGTCATTCCAAATATATTGTAAAAAATCTGTGAAATTTCTATCATCTCCATGTAAGCTGATCAAAGCTGTCATCTTACACGAAGATGATTGAAATTTCACAGATTTCTATGATATATTGCGAATGACCCTAAAAATTTTTTGCAAATACTTTATAATTACACTATTTATTAGCATTTTAAAGCCCACAATTTTTCTTGACATTTCCAGGAAAGTCTTGAGATGGACTTAGATATTGATGAAGAGAATTTTATTGATATTCCAAAACGTCCACCGTGGGATTACAAACTTTCCAAGAAACAGTTAGAAAATAATGAAGAGAGATATTTCAAGGTTGGTAATTTGGTTTAAAGAACAGTAAAAAGAGATGTTTCAAAGTTATTATAGAAATGGTTAAAGAAATAATAAACAACGAATATTTCAAAGTTGGATTGGGGCGTCCATGGTCGAGTGGTTAAGGTTTTTTTTTTACTTCAAGCCACTTCCCTCTCACTGCTGTAGGTTTGAGATGGGCACAAGGATCTTCGGATTCTTTTATGTGAGAAAGGTATCCAGCTAGCTTACGGAATGTTGGTGGTTCTACTCAGGTGCCTGAGGTCTTCCTCCACCGGTAAAGCTGGGAAGATGCCATATGACCTACATGTATACTGTGTTGGTGTGACGTAAAACCCAATAAAAAAAAATAATTTCAAGGTTAGTATTTTGGTTATGGAATAAGTATATGGAGATAACACTTTGCTATTTTGGTTAAAGAAGAAGTATATATCACCTTTTATCGATATTTCTGGTATATCTGTTGGTGCTACAAGTTATTAGCCTTTGCAACCATGGAGCCAGGTCATTTTCTGAATTTTGATAATGAAATTCCTTGAGCTTTGAATTGACTGCTCCAAATTTGTTGTGGGGCAAAATCCATATTACTTGTATTTAAACACAAAACCAGCAGATCTCCCCTTGTGGCTGAGGGGTTGCCTTTAATGGTTGAGGCATCAGTATTGCAGCCACCCTTTATCCATACGTGATCATAAGATGTGACTAAATGGGTGTGAATATCTGAGTCTATTCATCTCTTAGCTCCAGCAAGTTAGGTGGTTTTGATCCCAGGTGTTGTTTTGAAGATTGTAATACATAAGGTTAGCCAAAATCACCTTTCCTGTTTCGGCGCCATATGACCTAAACTGTGTCACTGTGCCCTAAAACCAAAAGAAACAAAAAAAAAAAAAAATAAATAAAGCAGATTAAGATAGATTTTAATCATTACTTGTCATGTATTGGATTATTTCAGAGTTATTTAGATGAAATATTCAGTAAACATAATGCGGAAGAACTAAGCTATATGGAGTTGAATCTAGAAACATGGCGTCAGTTGTGGAGGGTGCTTGAAATGTCTGATGTTTTCCTGATTATCACCGACATAAGACATCCAGTAAGTAAATTTGTTACCTGGAATATTAGGAATTTAAATGTATAGAAATAATATAGGTATAGATAATTAATAATTTGCAGTGATATATTCAGATGCTTTTGACTGAAATAATGCATAAATGGGGTATATAAGTATATTAGAATGGGGTATATTTAGACATCGTGTGAGTGCAAATATCTTTTCATAGTAGTTTCGAGAAAAATTCCCTTCACGGAAGTTCTCTTTGAAGCTGTTCGATTTTCATTGGTTCTGCTGAAGTCACAGCGTGCTTGTTTTTGACCGAGGTTATTTTAAAAGGGGTAAATGAGTTTATTTTGGCTTAACCCAGCATGAAAGCCAAAGCAATTTCTCAGTACTAGTATAGGTTGAAGCTTATCAAAGGAAAAATGAAAAATTACAAAAAAATATATGTCCTAGTAGAATTATCATAAATGTTAGCAAAATTCGAAACAAAATGCAAAAAATACAAGTTACTGTAATAAAATCTGTTTTTTGTCTGTACCAGAAAACTTTTAGTTATTTTATCTGAGTTAAGTTATAAACTAAATGCAACAAATTGCCTTGTATGGACTAAAATAGTGTGAATAGAAGTGTCTGTATCAATATATGAAGTGGCCATATATCCATACAAGTATATGTATATGTTTAAAATTTGCTTATCCAAACTAAAAACAAAATAAGTTACCTTGTAACTTATTCATATGCTTTTAACAGAATTCTTTTCTTTTCCTATTACAGGCCATGCATTTTCCACCAGCACTATATGCATATATCACAGAGGAGCTGAAAAAGTCAGTTATTATTGTTCTCAACAAAGTGGACCTAGCTCCACCCTCATTGGTTGTTGCCTGGCAACATTACTTTAAACAGCATTTTCCATTGGTCAATGTTGTTTGCTTCTCTTCATTTCCAAAATCAACAGAAGAGATGGAGCAGATGTCTAAAAAAGTTGGAAAAGGTATGAACAATGATTTTTTACCCTCCCATTGTGGGAATGCATATATGGCTGACTGGTTATTGGTCGACTTTACTTTCCCTGCACTGCTGTGTGTAACAGTTCAAATCCTGTTATGGACAATGGATTCCTTTCGAGTGAAGAAAATTATGCAGCTGGCTTATTCATGACCCTCAGTGGTTCTACTCAGGTGTGTGCTAATTTCTGAAATAATGCATGAGAGGGCACCACTGAGGTGTAGTAAAGCTGGAAAGTCACCATATGACCTTTAGAGAATCTGGGCAATTTAAACCCCAAATGGTGACTAACAAGTTGACCATGGACACTATATTGAACAATTGAATAGTTCTTCAAATGAATCAAAGCAAAGTTAGAAATGTCAGTATTTACCAGTTTTTGTGAATCAAAGCATAGTTTCAATAAAAGATATCAGTATGTGAATCAAAGGAAAGTTTTGATTAATGATGTCAATATTTACCTGTTTTTGCGAGTCCAAGTAGTTTTAATTAATAATCTTATTATTTACCTCTAAGTTGTAAATTGAAACAAATTTCAAATAAATATATCAATATTTAACTGTTTTTGCATATTAAAATAGTTTCAATTTATAATATTAATATTTACACTTTTTTGTGAATCAAAACAAATTTCAATTAGAAATATCAATATTTAACAATTTTAGCCAAGTTTCAATTTCAAATGTCAAATTCTCACACCATTATCAATATACATGTAGTTGTGTTCAAGAAAAGAAGACGTGGAACATACAGAGCTCTTGGACCTCAAGAATTACACACTGTGTGTGAGAAGCTGGTACAGGCAGAAGGTAAGTTGCATATTGGCACCTTAGTGCAATAACTGAATAAGTCCTTCTGAATATATTAGGAGTTTATCAGTTATTGCACAAAGGTGATGATATTGTAGTTACTTGATCATGTGATGAACATATAGATTGAAATTGGTGATGGAATCAGGGATGTAGAAGTTACATGTACCCAGAATGTTTTTCTTACTTGGAGAGAATTTTGAGATACATGTAGTTAGGGAGAAATTAAAGGTAGTTAGGTAGTTTTTTATTAGTAAGGGTTAAATTTGATTTCTTTGATTTTGTTTTAATACCATTTGTTGGAATCTGTGGCTAACTTATTTTTCTGACTTAAAAGTCCATTTGTGTCTTACCATGGTGACAACATTTGTGACAACCCGGACAGATTAGAATCCCTCCAAATCTTCGGAGTTCTGTATTTTGTTTTAAGCTTTAGCTCAGCTGCTTTATATAAATTTTCATGTCAAAATCCACAAAGGAGTCCCTTTAATACAGTGAATAAATCAGCTAATATGTTTCTATTTATAGTTGACCTTTCAAGTTGGAAACATAAAATTGAATTAGACCAAGGTGTTGAGGCAGAAGATAGTGATGATGATGATGACAATGCTGAAGATGTTGATGTTGACAATGATACGAAGGGTAAACAAGTTAGACCTGACCATACAGATATATATGAAGAACATGAGAAGTATAAAGATGGAGTTTTAACAATCGGTTGTGTTGGTAAGGAAAAAAATATTATTTGATGCAGTAAACATTATTGACCCATAAACTTGCTGGAACCAAAAGTGGTAAGTTTAGAGCCAGGTCAGCCTGCACATCCAATCAATGCTGTCTGACAAGGTTCAATACTGTTGGTAGCACAATTTTTTGTATTTTGATATTAAAATCCCTTAGAATTTGAATGGACTGTTCCAAATTGGAAGTAGGTTCAATCAATTATACTAACTGAGAAGGTTATGTGGCTCAGAATAAATGACTGTACACTATTGCAGACAACCTTATAACAAGGCATATAACCTGTAAAAATCTTTATAAAGAATCACTCATGCAGCATAATTTCTTTATTTGAAGAAAAATTAAAAAAAAACTTATGTCTTAATGAATTAACAAAAAACTGTGTATATAAATTGCTTTTATATAAACATCATGATTATCTAGGGAAAAATCCAAGTTACAAACATACTGTGTTATAAGAAAAATATTGCTGATCATTTGAGATCTCTTGGTCGAAAAGTTAGTCAAACTTATTTAGTTTTAACAAGAATGATGTTTCAGAATCACTACATGTAAATGCAAATTTAAGTTCTTTGGCACTGACAGTTATACATGTGTATATGAAGAATGGAATCTTACGTAAATCTTTTGATTTATTTAGGTTTCCCAAATGTTGGAAAGTCATCAGTGATAAATGGCCTCATGGGTAAGAAGGTATGTATATTTTTTCATGCCCTCACTACTTGGGATTGGGGTTGCGTTTGTCCATCTGTTCCTATTACAAATCCACATCTACAACATATTTCAAGTTTTTATCATATGATTTTGGATTCGAACTTTGCACTGTTGAAAACATTTTGAAAATATTTGTTATAATTAAATGTAATGAAATATTAATTTGAATAGCCCCTTTATGGGCCACTAAAGCTAAAAATAGAAAAAGCTTGTACAGTAACAATGAACATGGGCCATTTGTTCCTTTTTTTATTATGAAAAAAAAACAACAACAAAAAACAATGTCGGGGAACTATTTAACTAGAGGTGCAAGTTGAAGTTGAGCTGGACTTGCCTTTCGGCAAGTTCATTTGAAAAATTATTTCTGACATTGAAAAACAGTTGTTTCTAGTGAGCGATTCAGGGCCATCATGGCCCTCTTGGTTTGTTTTTTGTGACACTTGCACAAAAGGAACATTAACAGATTTATCATCATTTACTATTATTCAATAGTTTATTAATTATAAGTCAAATGGGAATATGAAAAAATTTTGCAAAATTTCCCACCATCTAAGTGTAAGTAGCTATATGAATGATGTAGGTGATTATATATATTTTCAGGTGGTAAGTGTATCACGGACACCCGGTCACACGAAGCACTTTCAAACAATTTACCTCACATCTACAGTCAAACTGTGTGACTGCCCTGGGCTTGTGTTCCCATCCAAGATAGATAGAGATTTACAGGTGAGATTCTGTAATGCTTTAACATGACCCTGAACATTATTGTTGGCATCTGATGACTAACCTGCCTTTAGCAAGCTTAATTACTCTTGCACATGGGTCCCTTGGTAAGGATTGCCTACATCACTTTGTAGGTTTTTTATGTGTCACGGTTCAGAACTGTCACTGTTCAGAGGAGAAGATGTGTACACTTAGAAATAAACTTGCAAGTATTGAATGACAATACCTTAATACTTGAAACAAAAATTAAAATTATATCAAACATGACATCCAAGGTTACTGTGTATTGTATGTATGTAAATAGGAACTAAATTCACTATGCTTTATGAAAGTACAAAGCTTTTAGTCAAGGCTGGGTTTCATAGAAAGTCTTAAGTGTATCCTAAGTCCTAGGACATAAAACCAACTTTAGGATCCAACTTAAGACTGTTTAAATAGAGGATTTTTCCTTCAGTCAAAGACTGTAGACTAAAATAAAATTCTTTTTTATTGCTCATCTGTTTTGCTATTCAAACATTTGAAGAATCATAAAACAAGAGTCATAATAGTTAACACATTTTCTTTGTAACACAAAATTGTCTCAGTTTTGATCTGAAGACTGATTTCAGACAAAGGATTTTCTATGAAACACAGCCCCAAGTTGTTGACAGTAAATTTTGAAAAATAATTTCCTTTTTCAAATTTTCTTCAGATTATAAACTTAGAAAACTAACTCTCATTATTTTAATAAATGTAGCTATTCTTTTGTAGATTTTAGGTGGAATATATCCTATTGCTCAAGTAAGAGAGCCATATTCAACTATTAACTACCTGGCTGAAAGACTGGACTTGCCGAGAATACTTCAGATAAAACCTCCAGATGATGATGTTGATATAACAACATATAGATGGTCCGCCATGGATATATGTGAAGGTATGTCAGTGATAAAAATGATGATATTCTAGATTTACTGACATAACGTTAGTTTTTAAGCTGATTTTAACACAATTTTGGTCCTATATCGGTGGTCCATCCAGTTAATTGGCTTTCCTGGAATAATCAATATTTCTACAAGTAACAGACTACAAATCCCGCATAATTTTGAATCATCAGTGACAAATAGTCACAAATAGAGACAAATGGTCACTAGACTCCATGTCCAAGATTATTTGTAATTCATCAGAGGATCAAGCCAGTGACCCCTACATTAACATAAATCCTGAGATTCATTTGCCGACTTTGAAATACTTATCTGGTTCAGGGGCGGCAAAATCAATTGTCTGTATTACCTAGGTTGTTGTTCCACAGCTTGTACGCACAAGTGGAAATTTTCAAGAATTTACTAAATAAATATCATACAGACAAGTTAAAAAATTGCTACAGAGAAAAACGGAGTAGTAAGTCCGAATCAGATTTTGCCGGCTCTCTGACTGTTGTGACTATGAATTTCAATCACTCTTGAGTAGTTGAATTTTAAGTAAGGGAGTTATCTAGTAGTTTGAATATTGTCTGTAGTCACAACTAGTCGACCTCTCATGGCTCAAAATGTGCATCAAAAAATATTAAAGATCTTCTTAGGGCTGTCTTTGATGGAAAATTTATTATCAAAATATTAAAGGAGAATATTGACAATATGTTTTAAGGCTGGCTGTGTCATTGATGGGAAATTCTGTATCAGTGTATTAAAAGCCCAAACTCAACAATATATGATATATGGGACTAAATTTCTAGTATAGTAAATACCATTTGAATATGTGTCATGAATGGCCATCATGGTGTTCTGCAAACTTGTTTTAATCACAACAATACAGCATACTGAAAGAAAATAAATTTTCTTATTTCCACATTTTATATCAATATTCTAAATTGTGAATCAAAATAGAATTGCTGAATATTGATAATATATTGATATCACGATATTTAATGACAGCCCTTGATGTTCTTGCACCAACAAAACTATAAATCACCAGATAGTAGTGGCATGGTTCATGCAGAGGTTAACGCGTTGGACTAGTAATCTAATGATTGCTAGCCGCATGGGTTCAAACCCCCACAGGGGCAAGTCTTTGTTTCCTTGAGCAAGAAACTTTACACTCATTGCACAGTTCTGGTTGGTTCCAGGAACGGATTGGAAAGTGTGTCTATAACAAAAGCACAAGCATATGCAGTTATAGCTTCCTACACAATTGAACTAAAATAAATTCTGTATAAACCAAAATCAGCAGATATCCATTACAGTATTGGTGTGATATATAACTCTCAATGGTTTATCTATATTTGAGCCGCGTCACGACAAAACCAACATAAAGGGTTTGCGACCAGCATGGATCCAGACCAGCCTGCGCATCCGCGCAGTCTGATCAGGATCCATGCTGTTCGCTTACAAACCCTATTACAAGTACAGAAACTGATAGCAAACAGTATGGATCCTGATCAGACTACGCGGATGCGCAGGCTGATCTGGATCCATGCTGGTCGCAAACCCTTTATGTTGGTTTTGTTGTGACGTGGCTCATTTCTTATTTCAGCATGGGCTGATAAAAGAGGGTTCCTGACAGCAAAAGCAGCAAGACTTGATTCTTATAGATCTGCTAATAATCTTCTTAGAATGGCTCTCGAGGGAAGGATATGTCTTTGCCTATATCCGAAAGGTTTCATGAAAAATAAAGGTAAATAGTGAATGTCTTGTCATGTATTTGTGTTTTTCCTATCTCTCTTTTTGTATACCTCAGTTTATACTTAGCTTGCTGGCAGCAAATAAATGTACTCATATGACCAGTGCAGTCCAAGGTCAGTCAGTACTTCCAATCCTTCTGCTTGTGGTCTGCACCCCTGTTTGCTGTTAAGTCATTACATATATTGAAATTTCCCTAAAATGATTAAAGTTTTTATCCAGAATATTTTTTCTCTCAAGTAAATGAGTGTCCTTCTGGTCTATAGAAAGGCAACATCGTTTAGTATGTAGACAGATTCTACAAATGACAGACTTGCAGTTAACCTGCAGACATTTGACCTTTAACCTTTAAAAACCTGCTGACTTTTCTAATGTTCTTGACTAGCATCCATTTTTTAGAATTGTCCATTATCAATCTAGGGATATCAAGATGAAAATTTTAAAGTTTGGCAGCCAACAATATAGAGCCTGGTCAGACAGCACAGATGGGAAGGCTTGCCTGGCTCTATACTGGTGGCAAAGGTTAAGGTTAACTAAGAATAGTTTCTGTTTAATATTTTATTAAAAAGTTATTTGACCATCAAAACTCTTTAAACAAACACTGTTCTTGAAGGTTTGCTTTGAGTTTGAAGAAGAAATTAAAAAATTTAAGGGACTCCACAGTGGGAGGGGGGGGGGGGGGGGGGGCGGGTAATTGACCTGACTAAATATTTTTTTTATATGTGTACCATTTGATGAAGGTCTGGAAAAATAAATTGTATGCAAAATTTCTGATCATTCGCTCACCCCTGTTTTTTTTTGCATATAATTATTCCAATTGGGACAAATGACCCAAAAATGAATAGCATTATGAGCTCGACTATTTGAAGAATAGGGGAACTATTGTATTCAAAGTGAGGTTAGCATCAGTATTTGGTTTGGTTTTTGCGTGCTTGTTGATATATCCAAAAAAATACTGAAGGGAATGGCAAGAAACTAAAAACACTTACTTAGGAGCATAATACAAGCAGGAGCTCACTGACCAAAGTCCATTACTCTAACATGAATTTTGACAGAATTATGGCTCTTTTAAATTATGAACTTAGAAAATTCTACATGAACTAAGCTCTTGTCTTACTTTCATGCACTCAGAAAAGTCAAGCATTTTGTCATACCGATAGCTCTTGTTTTATTTTACATGCATATTGTTTCTTTAAATACAGATTTCTGGGAAAATCATGATCATACAGCCGCTTTCATAGAGTTAAAAAAACATTACAAACAAAAAATACAAAGCCCCTGCTAAATATTGATCGGGGATTCAGTGATTTTCAGCATCTAAAGACAGAAGAAGGGACAGAAAAATTTGGGAAAGGGAGTCATAAACAGGGGAAAAATTTCTAAAACTTTTTACATAAATCCTTTTGGGCCTTGCTTGGAAAAGGGAAAGACTGGAAAAAATTTAAAACATGTAGAAAAGAGGGCCAAAAAAGGAACTTTTTGTTCAAACCCCGGGGAAATTAAGTAACATCATTTTTTGGTAGTGCTTTCTTTAAAATTCTCTGGAGTACAAAAAAGTTCTATTGTATTAACTGTGTTCATTTCTAACAGATCTGACTTGTTGCTAAACTTTTGATCTGCATGTTTGTTAGTTGATTCAAATTTTTATCCTTATTCCAAATTGAAAGCTATCATAGATCTGTTTTTTTATTTATTGTTGTTTTGATCTTATACAATTTTTTATCCATATACACCAGGGCCAGAGGTTATAAAGAAATTTATTAAGGTTTAATTCATTTCTCATGTATTTTGATTGGTCAAAAACTGTCACAGAATGTTCACTGACCAATGAAAATCCTTAAATTTGAGACAGAACTCTGAAAAAAAAGGTTTTATAACATCAAGGCCTGGATATAGATTACAGAGAAATGAAACATGTTTTACAGCAGATGAAAATATCAATTTTTCTCGGCAGTAGGTAAAATTCAACTGACCTAGTTAAAAGTCAGTTGACCTAGTTTAAAGTCAGTTGACCTAGTTGAAAAGCATTTGACCGTGATAAAGGTCAGTTGACCTAGTTAAAAGTCAGTTGACCTAGTTTAATGTTAGTTGACCAAGGTGAAATTCACTTGACTGGTTATTATCCATCCATTTGGGTAGATAAACTCCTTGTCTATCATTTATTATTTCTCTTTTGGTTAATTTTTTGAGTAAGAAAAAATGTCTCCATAGAAATATTGATACACATGTTCAGATTATGATTTTAAGATTATATAATTTGTTGGCATTTATTTGTATTTCGTCAAAGACAAGTTGTTTAATTTGTTTTGTTTTTTTGTTTTTTTTTATTAGCTCACCTGTCACAAAGTGACAGGGTGAGCTTTTGTGATCGCTTTTCGTCCGGCGTCCGTCCGTCGTCCATCCGTCCGTCGTCCGTCCGTAAACTTTTGCTTTAAATGACATCTCCTCATAAACCACTGAGCCAATTTCATCCAAACTTCACAGGAATGTTCCTTTGGTGGTCACCTTTAAAAATTGTTCAAAGAATTTAATTCCATGCAGAACTCCGGTTGCCATGGCAACCGAAAGAAAAATCTTTAAATATCTTCTTTTAAAGAACCCAAAGAGCTAGAGCTAAGATATTTAGCATGAAACATCTTCTAATGAGTGTCTATCAAGTTTGTTCAAATAAAAGCCCTGGGTCAAAATTGGCCCCGTCCCAGGGGGTCATTGATTTTCCCGTATTATGCATATAGTAAAAAACTTAAAAAATCTTCTTGTAAAGAACTCAAAGAGCTAGAGCTAAGATATTTAGCATGAAACTGTTCTAATGGGTGTCTACCAAGTATGTTCAAATAAAAGCCCTGGGGTCAAAACTGGCTCCGCCCGGGGGGGGGGGGGGTCATTGATTTTCCTTATATGTGTATAGCAAAAACTTAAAAATCTTCTTTGAAAAATCCCAAATAGCTAGAGTTTAGATATTAAGCATGAAACATCTTTAAGTAAATATCTACAAAGTTTGTTCAAATAAAAGCCCTGGGGTCAAAACTGGCCCTGCCCCAGGGTTGTCATTGTTTTTAACTATATGTGTATAGTAAAAACTTAAAAAATCTTCTTTTAAAAAACCCAATGAGCTAGAACTTAGATGTTTAGCATGAAACATCTTTTTATGGGTGTCTACCAAGTCTGTTCAAATAAACAAATAAAAGCCCTTGGGTAAAAATTGGGTGGGGGGGCCTATATACAGGTGAGCGACCTCAGGGCCATCATGGCCCTCTTGTTGGTGTAAGAATTGTTATACTTGCACTCTGGTGATTTATAATGTAAAGATGCTGCTTAAGATACAAATTAAGTATTTAATCAAGTTTGATCAGGGATATATTTCATACATACCTGTATTCCCGATTTGATAAACAAATGTTTGTTAGTAAGGTAGTGTTTCTTAAAATGCAAAAACAGTTTTAATGATATTAAGCAATATTTGTTACATGGTGACCGCCTCCGTGGTCGAGGGGTTAGAGTCCAGTTACCTCTCTGGCGTGGGTTCGATCCCCAGGAGATGATTTGGTAGTTTAGCACAGAGGAAGGTAGTCTTGTACTGGTGTAACTCTCCAGGAACGATGGTTAGGAAACTACCCGCCTATATGACTGAAATACTGTTGGAAGAAGGTGTAAAATGAAACAAACAAACATTTGTAACATGGTAGCAAAATAAAACAACAGCTGCCTGGAGGAGCCCGTGCGCCACTTTTTTCAGATCTGAATGATTAGCTGTACAGTTTCTAAATAAAGAAATAATTTGAATAAAAGGTCACTTTTAGGTGAAAATGGGCAGGGCAGGCAGAAAAATTGTGGCCTTGACCTTTTGACCCGAAACAAGTGAGGTGGTAAAACTCATCAATGTGCATTTACATACAAAGTATTTACATACAAAGTTTGATAATTTGTTCAGTATGACAAAAATTATTGTATTTAACAGAACATTTTGTTCTAAAAGTCAATTAAGAACTTATTCTTTAGCATTTTAAACTTGCATGAGCTTACTTACATGGGCCAGCATAGGCTTGTTTTTAGCATTAGACAATTGATCCGTCATACATGTGTCATCTGTTGTCAAGCATCAACAGTTAACACTTCAGAAGTCACAGTTTATATAGGATCTTAGGTAAACTCTGTAAAAATATTTATGATAATGGTCCCTTGGGTGGGTTTTAAAATATACATGTATCATCGTTAAATAGAGGTTGGGCTTTAATATGGGTCAGTAAAGTAGGACATTAGGTACATATTAAATTGTACAGTTATTTTAGTTTGTGATGAATATTCTATTTGCTTTCACCTATTGTTTCTTGTTACATATATGGCTATGTTAAATAAAGATTTTTTAAACAAAATATATACATGTATTGTCATGATTTATTTAGTCATGCTTGAGAGTGGGTGAAGTTTTGACGTTTTACATCAGCACTACAAACATTTTAATTTTGTGACACACTCATTACACTACCCCAACTCAAAATGATCCAACCACACAAGAAATTAACACAGGCTATTTTTATTTTTCAAAAGCATTTTTTTTTTTTGTCATGTTACATTTTCTAAAAAGTTACTCATTGTCCATATAGCTTAGCATTTTTTTGTATTTTGGCAATAAGTACAAATATAATGAATTAGAATGGAAGTCAAATGCCACAGTTTGTTTACATTTTGCTACCTTTGTCTCAAATTAAATCTCATGGAGTTCTATTTTCTTCTGATAATAAAGGTAATAAACATTTCACATGTTCAAATACATTATTACAACAGTATCAAGCACATGCTTGTCCTTTTTACAGGATGAAAAAACTGAAGCTTGAGGTACCATAATAACATAATTATATTCTTGATTTATTAGAGCGTTATGTCCGAGCAACAGACTACCATGAATGTAATAATATGTCATGCTGGCTATATACTGACGCAAACAAAACAATTGCATTTTGGTTTTACTAATTATTATTATTTTTCATTTGCATTATCGTGCATCGGTAAACCTTGACGCCGACACAGAAAAGTCACACCACTTGAAGGAGAACAGTGTCAATATAACTGGACATTCAGATTACCAGATATTACGCTAAATTTGGTTTTCTGTCACTTATTCTCCACCAAAAACAATAACGCTCCAGCAAGCAATTTTCTGCAAAACGCTCGCCTCAACGAAATAAAAAACGCATACTCTAGGTACCATCTGCAACACTCCGGTTAAAATGTGACACGTCGCAAAGATAACATTCTTTCCCACTGGGCACAATTCATTGAGCCCAGAATTTCAGCCGGTAAAAGGGATTAATAATCTGGCCTACGTGTGGCCGCCTGGCTTTGATTGAGTTTGCAGTCTTGCTTAAACCATTTAGAACGGTTTGCCTAGTTACGCCAAATTGCCAAATTGTCTCGCTAAGGCTAATTAATCACTATAGTTTCCATCTGTTAAGGGTTAAAAGGCGAATTATTGAACAACCATTCATAGACGGACATAAAATTCATAAAACCACTAGTTTCATTTCACACAGAACTATCTTCCTGTTAAACTTGTCGAGGTTTTTAAATGGGTGTTTTCGGACGTGCTTCACTGTGAAGCGCATGTCTGGGACAGAAGATACACTTAAAGTTACATTTGTAGTCCCAGCTCATTTGTCGCTCATGGAATGTCACACAGACATGATATGGTCAGCGTCGCACTAAAGACATGTTTCATTACGAAATATGAGACTAGGCAACTACGAGGACAAGTGTCGCGCGACTATGCTGCAGCAGACACCGTGCACGATAGTTACAGTCACGTGTCTGCTATGTTAGGGAAAACTTCAAAGTTTTCAGACAAAACAAAAGAATTACTACACCTAGTGGTAACTCGACCTGTCTTCAAAAATATACTTGAACATAATGGAAATAATTCAGACCATTTATTTATTGAAAAGCATGTCCTGGAAATTGAAAATGCGCGCCCAGAAAACAGGTGACGTCACGTCAACCTGTTACCTTCCAATTAACTACTGACATGTACCAATTACCGTGACAACTTTTGTGTAAATTTAAACCTTTAAATAAAGTGTTTATTAAATTTTACAGATTTAATAGGGAGGCCTCATTGTCATTAAATTGTACACGCAGCATTTGAAAGGCCTACCACCTTTTTTCTATAATTCAACACCTTTTCGTTAATATCGTGCACTTTCGCTTTTTTTGTAACTTCCGTGTACACATCATAACAAATTACGGTAATTATTTTTTGAGATTTTAAGCAAATAATGTTTGTCATTATTTCTGAATGATGATTTTCAGTTTATATATATATTTCAAAATAGACTTACCGTTTATTTGTATATAGAATGACGCATACTAATTAATTGTATTTTGACACTAGTGTATATTTCGGACATATTAACATTTCGGATAACCACATGATGATGATGATACTGATGATGAAAAAATAATGAATAGGCGGTGCGGTTGAGGAGTCAGATTACCAGATTTTCCCGAAAAACTTTAATAATAATAATAAACCTCCATTTATAGAAGTGAATAAATCGATTAATTAACTTTACTGATAAATAATTTCTTAAATATTAGTATTCTAATACTAGTAGAAGTCTAAATGTATATTGACCAAGAGTCTACTTCATTTTTGATTATTAGTAACACCATTATTCCATATTGGCTTTCATAATTTAAGTCAATTAAATGATCATATACAATAACATTAATGTCAATGTTAGTCAGATATTGAGAAATATTCGAATATGTGTTGCCAGAGACATGGTTAACTACATATCTTGTTAATCTCAACTAGGTAATCAAAGAATTTTATGGGCATTTAATTACCTAAGGTACATGCATAACAAATGACAGTTCAAATCAAGGACCTTAAATGAAAGTTCAATTATTTTATTTGTTAATTTTACATAAATATTGATTAAAGATGTTTTTTGGGCATTTAAGTGCCCAATACTGCCTGACCTTTGTTAAGACTTAATAATGCTTTGTGATTGATCTGTCTGCCCTCTCAGCTAAAGTAGGAGAGCTTCGGATTAGTAGTTCAGGAGTCACAGGTTCAATTCTGGTGCCAGATTGAGAAGAAATTTCTCCATGACAGTTAATCGCAGAGATTTACTCAAATGTACATGTAGTCTATTTATGGTTATTTGCCGCCCACCACTGATTCAGAATTTTTGTTGGATTAGTAGTCAGTCTCTTGCAGAGAAATTGGTCTAAGGAAAGTGAACTAGGTGGATTATCCACTGTGACTTAGATTATCAGATATGACCAAAAATGTGATGAAATTAGGAAATTGGAGAAAACTAAAAAACAGATAAACAAGCAAACACACTTTGTGATTTTACTGATTTATTATTTGTGCCAACAGCTTTAGTCTTACTATTGCATAATGATTATGGTATTCAAAATAAATACAAGTGTAAAATTCAGTGTGTTGTAAGTCAAGGGTTGGGTTGTTGTATATAATCTGTGAATCATGCTGATAAAAATGGATGACTGGTAAACGAAATTAGGTGTCTTGATATCATGCTGAATTTGAATGAAAATAGTGTACAAGAAATTCCAAATGCCCTGATGTAAATATTTCAGTACTTTCAGTTCTTTTATATGCGTAATGTCTCAACAAGGTATTTGAAGAAATTGTCTTGAACTCTAAGCCTGCTGTTGGCAACAGTTTAGTCACCTTAGTGCAGTAGCGGGTTAAGTCCTTTTTAATTTAATAGGAGTTAACCAGTTACTTCACTAAGGTGTCAGACTGGTGGTACCCTCTGCAGAACAAGATAATTAAGCAGGCACATTGATGCTGTCTGATCATGCCAGGTCTGCACTGTTGGTTAGTCAGTCAGTATATACATGTATTTTGAAGTTTTCCCTGAAAATGATGAATGGTTTTTGTCCAAATCAAAAGATGAACAAGTCCATTTAAGACATTTGGGGTCAGGTAAGGGTAAAAAATACTGTATATATATTTTATTGTACATTGTATTTACTTTAAATAAATTGGTCTTTATTTTAGATATGGAGACTTTGATGCCAGGCATATAAACAGTAATATAGTGTGTGTGTTTTTTAACATAGAATGACATCAATGAGTCCCTCTGGTTTACATGTGAACAAACCTGCCATAGGTATTATTTTCGGTAAGTTGATTTTTACCGCTATATATGTTAAGTATAAATGTACAGTATGACTTTGGTAAGTCCAAGTTGAATGGACTTGTGTAAACACTTCGAGACATGGGGAATTCTACTCCTGTATAGGTTACGATTTAGTTTCAAATTTTCCAGACTTTGATGTTCACAAGTGACTTACATATATATGTGCCAAAGGCGTAACAAAAAGAAAGGGATTTGAATATTAACTATGTATGTATGGATAGAATTAGTTGAGTAGACTACTAGAGTGCAGTGCACAAGTATGATAACTCTTCACTTCATTTTTTTTAAGCTTTTTCATGCTTTTTAATTTGCAATTTTTTTATTTTATTTTATTTTATTTTATTTTTTGTCCAGGCTACAACTCAAAATATTCAAGAGATGCCACTCGGCTTGAAACTTCTTAGGTTTATATCTCTCATATACTAACTTTGGGTTATTGCTCTTTGATGTGTATTTAAATGTTAGTGTGTGGACTATCATTTTAAAATAAAATAAACTCTTGTTTGGCGTCGGGTTTTGAAACCTGTGACTATTTCTTGTTTATTATTAAATTCCCAAAATTTCAGTGAAAAATTTCCAACTATTTTGTCATAATTATGCCCCTTTTTGATTTAACAATTCCTTGCTTAATGGTTTGTCTGTTAAGTATTAAACCCCCAGTGTACCCCCACCCCTATTAAGACAACAACAACAAAATACAGCATATATTTGTGGCAGTTGTCCATAATTTGTCCATAATTCTCATTCACATTATTCTATGTATGCATACCCGTACATTTTTTATACACTGAATTTTGTATTCGAATTAATAATGCTAAGCATTGATTACATGTATCTTGACTCTTTTTACCTTTCTTAAAATCTTATTATAATTTTCTCAAGTTTGATTTTCTCCAATTATTTTGGCTCATCTGGAAGCATGCATCTTTAATTTTTAGGTTTGAATTGAATGATAAGAATAAAATTTAATGAATCAAGTTTAAGATGACTTTGTTCTGATTTTTTTTTTGTTTTTGATAAACCAGCCATGACCTATATATATTACCTGTAGTTTTATCTAAACTGTGTTTAGTTTAGTAATCTTCATTCTACCACATGCATACACATCAATAATTATGTAATGGTTAATATGAAGGTCACTTTCTATAAGTTTATATGACTGTTGAATATTCAATAAGTAATTTAGTATGCAGTCATAAATGAAATCTTTTGGACTGTAGTAACATAAACTGGTAAGTTTCATTTTATTCTTTAATTCCTATTGCCATGTTTAATATTTTACATAGAATTGTCTTAATACATTTACAATCAAAATCTAGGCAAAAATCATTCACCAGTTTTAGAGAAAATATCAAATTATGTACAATGTACTGACTGAGTAGCTGACAGTACAGACTATGAGCGATATGGCACAGATGTGCTGGCTGATTTGTGTCTTCCCTCGTTGCCATGGTAACAGGAAATTTACGATTGAGCATGCTGTTACAGAGGCTATGGTCTAGTCAACATTTGTGCCAAGTTTCATCAGTATTGAAGCATTTTTAGCTCGACTATTCGCAGAATAATCGAGCTAATGCAGTCACCCATTTGTCGGCGTCGGCGTCCATGTGGTTAAGTTTTTGTATGTAAGCTGGTATCTCCATAACTACTGAAGGGAATGGATTGAAACTTCACACACTTGTTCTCTGTGATTATCTAAGATGATTGGCACAAGTCCCATAACTCTGAATTGTTTTATTTCATAATTATGCCCCTTTTTCGACTTAGAAAATCTTGGTTAAGTTTTTGTATGTAAGCTGGTATCTCCATAACTACTGAAGGGAATGGATTGAAACTTCACACACTTGTTCTCTGTGATTATCTAAGATGATTGGCACAAGTCCCATAACTCTGATTTGCTTTTTTTCATAATTATGTCCCTTTTTCGACTTAGAAATTCTTGGTTAAGTTTTTGTATGTAAGCTGGTATCTCCATAACTACTGAAGGGAATGGATTGAAACTTCACACACTTGTTCTCTGTGATTATCTAAGATGATTGGCACAAGTCCCATAACTCTGGTTTGCTTTTTTTCATAATTATGCCCCTTTTTCGACTTAGAAATTCTTAGTTAAGTTTGTGTATTTAAGCTGTTATCTCCATAACTACTGAAGGGAATTGATTGAAACTTCACACACTTGTTCTCTGTGTTTATCTAAGACGATTGGCACAAGTACCATAACTCTGATTTGCTTTTTTACATAATTATGCCCCTTTTTCGACTTAGAAATTCTTGGTTAAGTTTTTGCGTGTAATCTGGTATCTCCATAACTACTGAAGGGAATGGATTGAAACTTCACACACTTGTTCTCTGTGATTATCTAAGATAATTGGCACAAGTCCCATAACTCTGATTTGCTTTTTTACATAATTATGCCCCTTTTTTGACTTAGAAATTCTTGGTTAAGTTTTTGCATGTAAGCTGGTATCTCCATAACTACTGAAGGTAATGGATTGAAACTTCACACACTTGTTCTCTCTGATTATCTTAGATGATTGGCACAAGTCCCATAACTCGGATTTGCTTTTTAACATAGTTATGCCCCTTTTTCGACTTAGAAATTTTTGGTTAAGTTTTTGCGTGTAAGCTGGTATCTCCATAACTACTGAAGGGAATGGATTGAAACTTCACACACTTGGTCTCTGTGATTATCTAAGGTGATTGGTACAAGTCCCATAACTCTGAATTGTTTTATTTCATAATTATGCCCCTTTTTCGACTTAGAAAATCTTGGTTAAGTTTTTGTATGTAAGCTTGTATCTCCATAACTACTGAAGGGAATGTATTGAAACTTGAAGAGTTTGTACCTTTTCGGACAATTTTATGTATTCATATAGGTAAGCATTATTATACTCAATGAAACACCCTTGTGACAAATTTTCGAATAGTCGAGCTTTACTGTCCTCCGACAGTTCTTGTTCATAGTTTCATAGCAGTTTTCAATGAAAACGGCCATTTTTCGCAATATGGGGTGAAAGGTTTAATTACATAATCAAATTACAGTCTATTGAACTATATTAAAGACTTATTGATAACAGTTATATTTTAAGTTGTCTGAAACAGTGGCCTTTTAGTTTGCATGCTGAATTTGTGTAATTGGTTTGCATTTGTAAAACATCTAACATGCTCTTAATCCATTATGTAAACATTGTAAAACACAGTCATGTCAGATATTTCTAAAGAATTAAAAATTAAATGATTTCTAAGACATAATGTGCTTGAAGGGGATTTCAATAGCAAAATACAAAAATTGAGCTACCAGCAGTAAAGAGTCTATGACTGGTGTTAAAGGTGTATCACTTATAATTAAGGGTTAAATTACTATCATTTTGTTTAATACATGTTTGCTTGCTGCTCTTGTACTGCTTAGAATTTGGCTCTATCAATTATTCCAAATGAAGAGTAGTGTACTTAAACATTTTTAACTTCATATTTTCCCTTCCTAAATAATTAATGAAAAATTTTTTTTTGTTCTGAGGCATAATGTGCGGTTAAGGTGTAGATAACTAGGAGTTATAAACCTTTAACCTGCTGGAACCAAAGGTAATTAGTCTTTGTGGCCAGTTAATAATAGACCCAGGCCAGCCAGCCAGCATATCCATGCAGTCTCTGTCCACGCTATATACAGTTGTCTGACCAACTTACAACTTATCATTTAGATAACTCCAAAATTAATAATGACAAGTTTATTTCATAAATGGAAGCCAGACAAGCTTGTTTTAGAAATAAAGCAGATTAAGAATTTATTATAAGTTGATAGAAATTGTTTCAGAATTATTACAGATATATTTATTTAGGGTTGGGTTTCGTTGTTCAATTACACCAACGTTATGAAGGTAATTCAGCGCGTCAAGAGTAAAGCTTTAAAAAATATCATAATAAGGAACAAAATATACCAATCCGAGATTTTGAAACAGAACAAATTTGTTGCTCGATTTTTAGTGATGCAAATTGCAAAACCATGTAAATCTAAGGGCTGTCATTTTGAATGAAAATTTTGTATCGATATATGGAAAGACAAATATCGAAGTTTAATCAAATTATCAATATATCAGTACATCTTAATATGGGAAGAGAAATATTGACATTATATCAATTTATCGAATTGAACAGTAAGAACAGCAAAAATTATTTGAATATGTTTCATAAACTGTAATTATGGTCACTTTCGATGCTCTGCATGATTGTTTTAACCTTTTCCCTTATATAAGCGTGTTTCGACGGCTTTTTGCCCCCCCCCCCCTTTTGAGGCCTCAAACAGTGAAAAAATGTCCTATTAAGACCCCAAACACTGTTTTTCGTTTGAGAAATGTTGTTAAAAAAAGTGACCATTTTTTCGGCGCCGTCCCCCATCCAAATAATACATCAGGGGGTTGCCAGAAGGGGGATGTGCCCCCTTCTGTTTGGGGGGTTTGAAGGGGGGCGAAGTCCCCCTCATCGCCAAGAAAATTTTGGACTTGTGAGAGGCTTAAAATGACCCCAGGTTGATCATAAAGTAACGTGTAACCAACGCTGAAAAGCCTTTGACTCTATCTCAATCCATTGAGAAGTTGCAGCACTTTGAAATGAATTTTGATGGAAAAAATCGAGGCAAAATAGTGATTTTTGGCAATTTTGAGATGTCCCCTTGTTGCCATGGTAACAGGAAATTTAAGACTGAGCATGTCGTTACAAAGGCAATGTTCCAGTCAACATTTGTGCCAAGTTTGATTAGTATTGAAGCATTTTTCATAGTTTCATAGCAGTTTGAACTTGTAAGAGGAGGCTTTTCAGTTAAAATGGCCATTTTTCACGATATGCTCATGGGGGAAAGGGTTAATTAAAAAAATATAAATGTTACAAAACAACAATTTTTCACCAAAATTAGGTAAAAGACCACATGTTAACATGGAAAAACTAGATTTTGGGTGATTCCAAGGTTTTTCATCAATTTTTGTTAACCTTTTCCCTTATATAAGCGTGTTTCGACGGCTTTGAGGCCTCAAAAGGGGGGGGGGGCAAAAAGCCGTCGAAACACGCTTATATAAGGGAAAAGGTTAAAACAATCATGCAGAGCATCAAAAGTGACCATAATTACAGTTTCTGAAACATATTCAAATAATTTTTGCTGTTCTTACTGTTCAATTCGTTATTGATATAATGTCAATATTTCTCTTCCCATATTAAAATGTACTGATATATTGATAATATGATTAAACTTCGATATTTGTCTTTCCATATATCGATACAAAATTTTCATTCAAAATGACAGCCCTTAGATTTACATGGTTTTGCAATTTGCATCACTAAAAATTGAGCAACAAATTTGTTCTGTTTCAAAGTCTCGGATTGGTATATTTTGTTCCTTTTTATGATATTTTTTAAAGCTTTACTCTTGACGCGCTGAATTACCTTCATAAAGTTGGTGTAATTGAACAACGAAACCCAACCCTAATAAATATATCTGTAATAATTGATAATTCTGAAATAATTTCTATCAACTTATGATAAATTCTTAATCTGCTTTATTTCTCAAACAAGCTTGTCCAGCTTCCATTTGTGAAATAAACTTGCCATTATTAATTTTGGAGTTATCTAGATGATAAGTTGTAAGTTGGTCAGACAACTGTATATAGCGTGGTCAGAGACTGCATGGATATGCTGGCTGGCTGGCCTGGGTCTATTATTAACTGGCCACAAAGACTAATTACCTTTGGTTCCAGCAGGTTAAAGGTTTATAACTCCTAGTTATCTACACCTTAACCGCACATTATGCCTCAGAACAAAAAAAAATTTTTCATTAATTATTTAGGAAGGGAAAATATGAAGTTAAAAATGTTTAAGTACACTACTCTTCATTTGGAATAATTGATAGAGCCAAATTCTAAGCAGTACAAGAGCAGCAAGGGGGTTGCCAGAAGGGGGATGTGCCCCCTTCTGTTTGGGGGGTTTGAAGGGGGGTGGAGTCCCCCTCATCGCCAAGAAAATTTTGGACTTGTGAGAGGCTTAAAATGACCCCAGGTTGATCATAAAGTAACGTGTAACCAACGCTGAAAAGCCTTTGACTCTATCTCAATCCATTGAGAAGTTGCAGCACTTTGAAATGAATTTTGATGGAAAAAATCGAGGCAAAATAGTGATTTTTGGCAATTTTGAGATGTCCCCTCGTTGCCATGGTAATAGGAAATTTAAGACTGAGCATGTCGTTACAAAGGCAATGGTCCAGTCAACATTTGTGCCAAGTTTGATTAGTATTGAAGCATTTTTCATAGTTTCATAGCAGTTTGAACTTGTAAGAGGAGGCTTTTCAGTTAAAATGGCCATTTTTCACGATATGCTCATGGGGGAAAGGGTTAAACATCACAGTACAACAAACTTAAAGAAAGTATATTTTCCAGTTAAGTTTAATCACTGACATATGAAAATTAAATTTAGGGATCCAGCTAGCCAAGAAAAATGGAAAGAAGTGACTTCTATATTTAGAAAAAATGGACAAATATTTAAACAAGGCATGAAGAAATAGCTTTTAGACTCTATCGATATTCTTATTTTTGTATCAATATTGTATTGAATGGTGAATATTGATGATACATCAATATTGCGATATTTATTGACAGCCCTAGTTACTGTGTAAGTGGATAATTCTGCATGTCAAAAAGTTGGTGAATTTAAAATTTCAGACATTTCGCGTAAGGAAATATTAGCGAATCATGGTCGAAGGGTAGAATTTAATGACACAGGTTGGTTCATATTAACGCAAGAGGTAAATTTAGTGATTTTCGTCAATTCGCGAAATTCGCCAATATTTTCGCATTGCTAACTTAACCACTTATACAGTGATTTATTTGATGTTCATTTTCATTTTCCAGGTTTGATTGTGGTTGGAATAGTCTATTTTAAGATGTCAGGTAAAACAGCATCTGTAACTAGTGCAGATTTCTCTCAGCAGAAATCAGAAGACAAACCAAAGGCTTCCGATGATCTCAGCAGTATCAAAGTTTTCCATAAAACAGACTTACAAGTCCCAGTTGATGATAAGGTTTGTATGATATAAATATTATATTTCATTTTAAGTTTGTTTGAGAGCTTTTAGGATTGATGTCATCTGTCCTCAACAGTTGTTTCAAATTACAACTCTTAAAAGTTCACGTTGATCTAGGTCGGTGTTTAGGTCACTTTGATCTTGGTCGGTGTTGAGGTCACTTTGTTCTAGGTCTGTGTTGAGTTCACTTTGATCTGGGTCGGTGTTGAGTTCACTTTGATCTAGGTTGGAGTTGAGGTCACTTTGATATAGGTTGGAGTTGAGGTCATTTTGATATAGGTAGGTGTTGAGGTCATTTTGATCTGGGTTCGTGTTGAGTTCACTTTGATCTAGGTCGGTGTTGAGTTCACTTTGATCTAGGTTGGAGTTGAGGTCACTTTGTTCTAGGTCTGTGTTGAGTTCACTTTGATCTGGGTCGGTGTTGAGTTCACTTTGATCTAGGTTGGAGTTGAGGTCACTTTGATATAGGTTGGAGTTGAGGTCATTTTGATATAGGTAGGTGTTGAGGTCACTTTGTTCTAGGTCTGTGTTGAGTTCACTTTGATCTGGGTCGGTGTTGAGTTCACTTTGATCTAGGTTGGAGTTGAGGTCACTTTGATATAGGTTGGAGTTGAGGTCATTTTGATATAGGTAGGTGTTGAGGTCATTTTGATCTGGGTTCGTGTTGAGTTCACGTTGATCTAGGTCGGTGTTTAGGTCACTTTGAACTTGGTCGGTGTTGAGGCACTTTGATCTTGATCAAGGTTATTGCCCTTGGGCTGGGTGTTGAGATCACTTTGATTTAGGTCAAGATCATTGCCCTTGACAGGGTGTTGAGGTCACTTTGTCAATTGATCTAGTTCAAAGTCTCTGATTTTAAATGAGATTTTATAAGTAATAATGATTGTTTTCATGCTGGTGAGCAATGCATGCACAGAACAAGGGGGAGTGACATGATCAAGGGGTCATGACCCCTTCCCCCCACCCACGAAATTTAACAGGATTTTTTGTAGAATTGTGCTTCAGATATAATTTTTACATTGACTTACAATTTTTTCATGAACATCAATCAAAAATTTGACTCATGGCCCCCTTTGGAATGCTAGTAAAATGTCAAACCCCTTTCTGGAATATGCATTACCCCTTGTCAGAATTATATGAACCTCTCTTATAAAAAATCCTGGATCCATGTCTGCGTTAGCCCCCCTGTTGATTGTTTCATAGAATTTTTTTAGAATTATGTACATAAATATTTGCAGAAAGAAGGTGTCAGTCTATTTTTAGCTCCATGCCTGTGTTAGCCCTCTTGTTTATTGTTTCGTAGAGTTATTTTAGAATTTCATATAGTTATATGGTTGCAGGTTTAGCTAGGAAGATATCAGTCTATATCTATCTCTGTTGTGTTGTAACATATGTTTTACATGTACATAAACAGCTGGGATAAAGAATTGATTAGCATCACTATCATTACATACTACCCTTTGGATCAACTTTGAATTTGAACAAGTTTAAAGACACATGTATACTACATGTATGCAAAAATTTGATATTAGAAAATATTGATAATTGCTACACAGTCTCTTTGTAAATATAAAAAAAACATGTTTTAACTTCACACAAAGTAGATAATTATGCTCTGTTTAAAATTCAACACACTTTAGGTGGTCACAATATGAATATAATATTATAGTGTCATTAAATAAAACTGGCAGTTTACTTGACCTGTAATATGGATGGGTCAATGAAATAACCCTTTATTTACTAACTTTTTACTGAACTTGGATTATGTTGCCATGGAATTGATAAATTGGGAAGGCATAATTATTGTATCTGGTCTGACTATCTACTTGATTCAACATGGAAGTTCCTACATACTTTGTGTCTCTTGATCAGTTCTACCTACTAGACCAGCTTAGAGGTCAAAGGGTCAAAGGTCAAGGTTTCTAGTGTCAAAGCGACCACAGTGGAATGATTTTCACTGGAATATAGTGTAATTAAATCAATATCAACAGTTTTGCAAGCTTTTATAAATAGCAAATTGGTTATTTTATGGTGTCTAAACATTATTCTTTTATGTATATTGTTTTGAGTTTATTTTAAGATAAATTCATTAATTAATAACTTTTGGGTTAATATTGGTAAATTGTATACATATTGTTTTGATTTGTCAGGAAGATATGTTATTTACATTAAGAGGATTTATTAATGTTAACATACTGATACCAGTAATTTAGGGATAAATAAGAATGTGAACTCTTTACTTCTGCAGGTAGTCACTGTGGCATACAGAGAAACAAAATGTGACGAGGCAAAATTAGATGTGCTATTTTTACACGGCATGAAATTCAAATCGGAGACATGGGTTAGTGAACCTTTATGGACACTACAGTTGTTATACAAAACAGGAGGGTTTAGAGCTGTGGCTATAGATTTACCAGGTAATTAACATGTATATAACCCATCCTGTCAGGGACTTTTGATTGTTACGGAGGCTTTTGAGGAAGCCAGATAGCTGGCATGCTAAAGGTCTATGGTTGGTACTCACAGACCTGCTTGTGTCCTAAAATAATGCACAGAGCGGCATTTGAGGCCCACTTCCATTTGAAAAGCTGGATAGTTGAAAACTTAACAGATTAATAAAAAAAAAATCATACATACTGTTTATTTTTGCTAGATAACTATTATGCAAATTTAATCAACTTTGTAAACCTATACAAATACACAGCAGTCATACACCTATAAATTAGGACAAGAATTTGCAAGCAAGTTGGGCAAGTAAATGAACAATTGTCAACTTTAAATAAGGAATATTTTAACCATTTTTGAGATGAAATCTACCAGTGTACTGCTGTCATGCTAATGCTTATTTTGATCACTGGCACAAATTTACCAAAATTCCCCCAAAGCATAAATGAAATGTTTTGTAGTATTTATTAAAAAAAAATTTGATATTCTTGAAAGGGAGACACAGGCAAAATTTTCATTTCTTCATTTTGATTTTTCATTCATTACTCTGTAAATGTCATCAAAATAAATACACTAGTCAGTCATAGGAACAAAAATTTACTCCTTATAAAGAATAAAATGGTCAGGTTTCCTAACTTGACCCACATGGGTCATGTTAGAGCGTTAAGATTTCACAATAGTTGCCACAGTGAACTCTGGACACGTTAAAGAACATGTCAAATGAATGACTTAGACTTGTTTCAATCATACAATATTCATGATATCTGTTGTTGTAACTTCCAGGGTTTGTTCAAGTCACATGACTTGTCTTAAAACTACTCGATGATTTTGTTGGCGTCTAAGTTTTGTTCAATATATCTACATATATTTATGCTTCAAACCCAAAATATATAGAATTTATACAGAAATCCATGATTTGACTTTAAAAAATGTCATATTATTGTGATTTCTTACATTAAATCATTTTAATATTTTATTTGCCTGAGTATCCCTTTAAAGCACTCATATATATTTACACCAGATACAGAGATGTATATTTTCTCTACAATTTGTTGATCTTTTTACTACACAGGTTATGGTGATAGTCCGAATGCAGAAGTTGATCCTGCTGCTTTTATGGAAGCTGTAATTGCCAAGCTGCAGTTGAATGCACCAGTGATTGTTAGCCCGTCTATGAGTGGAACATATTCTCTACCGTATCTCTTTAAAAGTATGTTATTTGATAGTTCAGTTAGTTCAATGGGGCGAAAATTAAATTTGGTATGCCCCCTTTCAAAGAAGGCAGGGCATATTGCTTTGGTGCTGTGAGTCTGTCTGTCTGTCGTTCCAGCAACAGTTTCAGTTCATTTTCTTGCAGAGGTTGCAAATACTGAAATTAAATTGGGTATAAAGATTTATCAAAAGAATATCAAGGTCAAGTTCTGTTTTGGGTCTGATTGAGCAATGTTTGACAGAGTTCTGTTCCTTGTTTTTCACAAACATCTCTAGGGTCGGTAGTTCAATCCTTGAGCGTTGCCAATTTTCTCCATGGCAACTGATCACTGGCATTGAGAAAGAAATCAAGTGGGGTTTGGTCTTTTGCTGAGAAATTGGTAATTACTAGCCAGTTGTGTGTTATCCAGGAAAGTCGGATTGGTGAGCCAACTGCAGAGATATTACCACCAATTTATTTTTCAAATCAGCATAAAAAAGAGAAAATTAAAATGATGGAGGCAAATTTTTAACCTGCTGAATTTAATAGATAGACTCATCTGGCAGCTGTCAGTTTTTGGAACTGTCCATTATCAATTTTAGGGATATCAAGATGAAAAATTTTAAGGTAGTCAGCAAACAGGATTGAGCCCAGTAATACTGCAGGGATTTAAGTACATGCCTGGATCTAAACTAGTGGCAAAGGCTATTATTGTTAGGTTCCAACAGGGTTGAACACATCTGGGGATGTTTCTAAATTAAAAATTTTGCCATTTTCATGTTTAAATGTTGAATTCTGCTTAAGCAAGTGCAAGGGGGCAAGGCAGGTAGCTTGCAGTTACCACTACTGTCCATGAACAGGCTTAGTCAAACCAATCCTGCAATATTTTGAAATTTGCTGTTTCAGGGCATTCTTCAGCGATTCTGTTTGTCAGTATTTAAGTTCTACGCTAGTGTCTAAATTGAAATAATTTAATAGTGAAATTAATATTTTGATCAATATCTATTATTTATTATTATACAATCGTTTTGTAATTTTTTATAATAATGTATGATTTTTGTCAGATGTGTCAAATGCAGTGTCACGGTCAAAAGGTTTCGTACCAGTCGCTCCAGTGGGCACAGATAATTACAAGCCCCAGTTTCAAGATTTAAAGGTATACACTGTACAAAAGATTCTGTACTAGCTCAATTAATTAAAGTGACATTATGCCTTTGAAGGAACAGGAAAAAGTCATAATAAGTTTACATTTGGCAATAAATCCTCTCAATTTTATATTATACTTTGCATGAAGGATAACTCACATCGCACAAGAAAATTTCTGAAAATATACAAAAAAATTGACCGTGAGGTATGCCACTTTAAAATTAAAAACATATAACTTATCTTGAGGTATGCTGCTTTAAAAAAACAAAAATTATAACTCATCTTGAGGTATGCGGCTTTGAAACAAATAAAGATATTTATTTATCATCTTCAGGTATGCCGCCTTGAAAAAATATTCATCTTGAGGTATGCCGCTTTGAAACAAAAAAAAAACTATATATTATCTTGAGGTATGCAGCTTTGAAACAAATAAAAATATAACTCATTTTGAGGTATGCCGCCTTGAAAAAAAATTTACTCATATTGAGGTATTCCGCCTTGAAAAAATATTACTTAGCTTGAGGTATGTGGCTTTGAAACAAAACAAAAAACCATATAAAACTCATTTTGAGGTAGGCCACTTTGAAAAAAAAAAACAAAACAAAAAAAAACCCAACTATAATTGAAAAAAAAAGTTGCCCAAAAATGTTTTTTTTTTTTTTACAGATTCCTACACTGGTGATATATGGTGAGAATGATAAAAGCTTGGGTGCTTCATCTGCCAAAAACTTTGAGACCATCAAAGACAAGACAGTGGTTGAATTAGCTGGAGCCGGGCATGCCTGCTACATGAATAAACCTGATGAATTCCACAAACATTTAATTGATTTTCTGAAAAAATTGAGCCAATAAGACAAATGCGTGATGTTTGTAAAATATTGAAATACATGTATATATATATATATATATATATATATATATATAAGTGCTAATAATTTTATATCTTTGAATTGTCTGGCAAAAACAATATTGTCAGTTGGGTGCGAAGTATTTATATTCACTTTTAATATTTATTCATTTTAATCAGTCATGAACAAGACAATGTATAAATACTTGGGCATAGTCTGTACCCTGTAACCTTCTCTTTGCTGTGGTTGTTTTTTTTTCTGTCACACTAGGGTCTTAAGAATTTTTTTTCTTGTGTTTACACCTATCTATAAAACATATGGAATGCCAGTGATTCTACTCAGGTGTTGGCTTCTGACTTAAAATTATGCACAGATGGGCAGGCACCTGAGGTCTTCCTCCACCAATTAAAAGCTGGAAAGTTGACCTATGACCTTTATAGTACAGAAGTGACCAACATGTTTAATTTAACAAAAAATGAAGCATTATGGTTACAGATGGATAAGAAATTGATAGCTTTATTGTAAATCTTTGTCTTTATGAAGTTATATTACAAATGTACTTTATTGATGGTTTAATCTGATTTCACAACTTATGACCACTAGCTTTAAAAACCATTTGCTATCCATTTATATACTTAACATCCATCTGTTGATATACACCCATTTGTTAAAGTGCATGCCTCCAGATTCATGCTAATTTTCATGAAAAATTTTGTAATGTATTAAAAAGTAAAATATCGTAGTGAACAAAGAAAATAATTTTCACACTGCAAAAACAGCACTTACAACCTATGTAAATTACCAAAAAGAGGCTTTAACATTCACCAGTTGCCTAAGACACACCCATCTGTACTTCCATCTGTCAACATATGCCAATCTGTCAACATTCACTCATCTGCATTTTTTCCTGATGGTTTATAGTTTGAACAAATTTGTCTATAGTTCATTGAACATGTATGAACAAATTTGTCTATAGTTAAATGAACGTGTATAACTTTAGATAGAATAGAACAATGGTTTGTATATATAAAATTTTGGATTGTTTTGTTAATGCTATAGTTAAAAGTCTGTATTTTATTACATATATGTACTAAAGTAATAAAAATGTTTGATTTTTGATTTAAAAAATCATGCTCCGTTTCAAGGAAAAAAGGTCATTTTATTGGTCTTAATATCCTATTTTATATGTTTTGAAGCTAAATACTTATTAAATGTATGATATTTTTGCTGCCAAGCACTGATTTAGTGTATGATTTTGATGTCAAGTGAAAATGAGGGTTAATATTTTAATGTCAATCACTGCTTTGGTGTATGATTTTGCTACCAAGCACTGATTTAGTATATAATTTTGATGTCAAGTACTGGTGTAGGTTAATGTCAAGCACTGATTTGGCATATGATTTTGCTGCAAAGCACTGATTTGATGTATGCTGTTGATGTCAAGTACATTTGCTAAATTTAATGCCTAGTACTAATTTGGTGTAAGATTTGGATACCAAGCACTGATTTGGTTTTTGATTTTGATGTCAAGAACTGATGCAGATTAAAAATTTAATGCCAAGCACTGATTTTGTGTAAGATTATAATGTCAAGCATTTATGAATTTGTTTTTTTACGTCAAGCACTGATTTAGTAATAGTTTGATGCCAAGCACTGATTTAGTATATAATATCGAAGCCAATCATTGGTTTCAGGTATAATTTTGATGCAAAGCACTAATTTAGTGTATGCCCTAATGCCAGTCACTTTGTTAGATTTTGAGTTTTGTGTGAAAACTATTTTATTCAACTACAAAATTATATTTATAAATCACAATCATTAAACTTACTATTTGTATATGCCCATATACTTGTCACATGTATATGTTATTTTTCAGACAACTTTAACCATGTCCATCTTCATTATGTAAACAAAAGCCTCCATACAAGATACCTTTGGAAAATTTGCTCCATTTTAAAATCTGACCTTGACCCTTAAATAACTTTGACCTTTGAAGTTCTATTAAAAAGATTTTGATGTAACACTCTATGAAACAAACTATTGCTGTTTAACAATTGCATTTTTTTGTTCTTGTTTTTGTTCTTGATTTTTGTTGCATACTTAATTATAGGTACTTTGAGTTATTATTAGATTTTTGTGGCTATGTGCAATTTCTTTGTCTTGTGTGGTTTAATATGTAACTAGCTAACTCTTATAATAGGTAGTGTTATAGCTAGTTTATATGTATGGGATGAAAATAATATAAATCTCAATTAGGTGTTTATAACTTTTATTTATTTATTTTTTTTTTTGTAGAAAAATTTTAAACTGTTCATTGCAGTTTCATTCACCTCAAAAAGTCTTACATTGACCTTTAACCCTGTTTGAACCAAACATATTAACCTTTGCCAGTATAGAGCCAGGCCAGCCTGTGCTTTCTTGTAGTTTGACTAGTAGGCTGTATTTTATTGGTTGCTCAATTTTTTCAATGTTGATATTGAAATCCCTTAAATTTTGAATGGATTGTTCCAAATTCAAATATGGGTGATTTCATTGCATAAATTCAGAAGGTTGCAGGTTATAGTTTTGCTCTTTGTCAACTTTAAAACTAAATTGGGACTTTAAAGTGAAGGAATTTATTATTGGTGTGAATTGTTTAGAATTTGCTAAACGGGGTATAAACCTGTACATTCTGATAGGGTCAACATTTTGTATGGAAAATATAGAAGTTAAGAAATTGCCACCTACCTCCTTGTACTAACAAATTGATGATTGTGATGAACTTTGTTGAAAAATAAAAAGGAAGCTTTTGATCTTATACTGGTGTCTTCTTTGCAGTTTGTTTATGCTGTAAAAAGTCTTTCTAGAATTCAAAATTTAACAAAACTTAAATCGTAGAATCAAAGGCACTGCTAAATGTACCATACTGTGGTTAAATGTAAGATGTTACATGGCAAAATGGATGAAGTTACATTTTGCATTTTTGATTGATATTGGTAGTTTCCCTTTTTCATGTGCAACATACAAATATAGAGGCCATATACATGTATATATTTGATTTATGTGTCATGTTGGGTTTTTTTTGTTTTATTTTTTTTGAAAATCACCTGCTTTGCACAGGCGCGCACTATATTCTGTTCTAGGTATGCATTTAGATACACATAGATATGGCTATATTTTTGTGTTTTACTTATCCTTGCTGTAAATAGGGGCAGAATATAGCCTGTGTGGGTTATAATTTATATAAACTTTGTGTGTGTAATCCTTTATCATGTATATGAATTGTTATGAAATTTGAAAATTGGGAAATTAAATTATTAATATTAACACAGTATTAATAGATTTATTTATATTTTCCTACAGAGAGACTGAGCTGCCATCATAATAGTGTTTAGGTCTGATTTATAATTGATAGATCTCTACTCTGACCTTTCATTTGAAAAACAATAGATTTAACCACAAACATTGACATGTTCTCTTTAGTTAACAAATTTGGTTGGCAAGTCATCAGTAATGGTTTAATTCCTTCTAGATTTATTAGAAGTTAACCAGTTATTGCATTAAGGTGGCATTTGAATGAAGATATTGACTGTACAAACTGATTGTTCCCACTTCAGAACAAGATAAGCAGGCTCATTGATGCTGTCTGATCATGGTCTAAACTATTGGTTATTCAAAAGTCAGTATATATTTTGAAATTTTCTCGAAAATGATGAATGGTTTTTGTCCAGATTAAAAGATGAACAAGTCCATTTAAGACAATTTAGGATGGAAAGGGTAAATACTGTATATTTTGTTGTATATACTTAAAATTAATTGATCTTTATATTAGATATGGACACTTTTAAGGCCTGACTCTTTCCAATTAAGTGAGAAAAACCACTGCCTTTAAAAATATACTATAACTTACAGAATATTTTTAAAGGGGGTCATAATTTATATATTTTGTTTTGGTTTTTGACACTTTTAAGATGAACACAGGTTTTTTTATCAACCTGGTCATATTTTTTCTTCCCTGGTCCGATACTCGTGCATGTGCAACAAAATACAAAAAATCTTTGTGGCATTTGTCCATAATTCTCATGTATACCTAAATTTTATACATTTTTGTATTCAAATTAATAATGCCATAGCATTGAATCATGACGCTTTCTACCTTTCTTAAAATCTTAGTATATTTTTCTCAAGTTTGATTTCCTCAAAATATTTTGGCACATTTGGAGGCATGCACCTTTAATATTTAGATTTGAAATGAATGGTAAGAATAAAAAAACAAGTTTAAAAGTGAATTGATCGACAATAGGAACATTTTTCATAAATATTTAAAATATTAGTAAAAACTATAGAAATGTTTTATTTGGATATTTTTTTTTTATAAAATATTGATTGGAAGGAATTATTAATGTTGAAAAAGTTCTAAGTGACTTAGTATTATCCATTCAGTAATGAATATTTTTGTTCTAGAATAATTTATTATCTGCTATATAAATATATGCAATTTCTTATAATCTTTCTCACAATTGACAACAACACGCATGCATAATTCATTCGTATTTGTTTCTATATGTTACACTAAATACTATCAACTTAATTTTTCATTGCATTACAGACCTTCCATTATAGACCAATAACCTTTTTTTTGATAAACTGGCCATGACCTATATAGCTAGTTTTATCTAAACTGTGTTTAGTTTAGTAATCCTCATTCTACGACATGCAATCAAATCAATATGTTACGGTTATTATGAAGGTCACTTTCCATAAGTTTTATACTACTGTTGAATATTCAATTAGTATGCAGTTATAAATTAAATATTTGGAACTGTAGTAACATAAACTGGTAAGTTTCATTTTCTTTTTTAACTCCCATTGCCATGTTTGATATTTTAAATGGAATTGCTGAATTTTTATCAAAATCTAGGCAAAAAACATTTGCCATTTTTAGAGAAAATATCAAATTATGTACAATGTACTGACTGAGTAGCAGACAGTACAGACTATGATCAAGATGGCATGAAATTGTGATGGCTGATTTTGATCTGAGCACTAGTTGTATGTGTTGAATTTGTTGCTGCCACCAGGCTAATTAAGGGTTAAATGTAATCAAGTCAGCTATTGAACTATAACAGTCCACTGAATTATTAGACTTGTTTATCAAAATTATGTTTTATGTTGTCTTAAACCCTTTGCATACTGAATTTGTAATTGATTTGACCCTATAATCTTTGAATTTGGAGCAGTGTAAGGAATTTCAATAGGTTAATACAAAAATACAAAAATTAAGCTACCCACAGCTCGGAGTCTATGGCTCTATTCAGATGCTAAAGGTTTGTCACCTTTGGTTTCAGCAGAGTTAGGGTTAAATTACCATCATTTTGTTTAAAATATGTATCCTTGTTGCACTTGTACTGATTAGAATTTTAAACTATCCATTTTTACGAATGAACAGTGCACTTAAACTTTTTGAATTTTATATCTTCCCTTTCTCAAGAATGAAATACTGGTATATATATTTTTAGCTCGACTATTCGATAAGAATAAGTAGAGCTATTGTAGTCACCCGAGCGTCGGCGTCGGCGTAACCACTTATATTAAAGTTTTTGTAATAGTTCAAATATTTTCAAAGTCCATTGACATATGGCTTTGAAACTTTGCACACTTGTTCACCATCATTACCCCAACCTGTAGACAGGAGGAGGTAACTGTATCAAGCATTTTGACAGAATTATGCCCCTTTTTCGACTTAGAATTTACGTTAAAGTTTTTGTAATAGTTCAAATATTTTTCAAAGTCCATTGACATATGGCTTTGAAACTTTGCACACTTGTTCACCATCATTACCCCAACCTGTAGACAGGAGGAGGTAACTGTATCAAGCATTTTGACAGAATTATGCCCCTTTCGACTTAGAATTTACGTTAAAGTTTTTGTAATAGTTCAAATATTTTCAAAGTCCATTGACATATGGCTTTTGAAACTTTGCACACTTGTTCACCATCATTACCCCAACCTGTAGACAGGAGGAGGTAACTGTATCAAGCATTTTGACAGAATTATGCCCCTTTTTCGACTTAGAATTTACGTTAAAGTTTTTGTAATAGTTCAAATATTTTCAAAGTCCATTGACATATGGCTTTGAAACTTTGCACACTTGTTCACCATCATTACCCCAACCTGTAGACAGGAGGAGGTAACTGTATCAAGCATTTTGACAGAATTATGCCCCTTTTTCGACTTAGAATTTACGTTAAAGTTTTTGTAATAGTTCAAATATTTTCAAAGTCCATTGACATATGGCTTTGAAACTTTGCACACTTGTTCACAATCATTAACCCAACCTGTAAACAGGAGGAGGTAATTGTATCAGGCATTTTTTTACTATCAAGCACTAGGAATAGTCGAGCGTTGCTGTCCTACCGACAGCTCTTGTTTTTGTTCTGGGACATAATGTGTTTTTAACTTTAAAGGTGTATAGAACTAGGGCAATGTATGTATTGTAAGACTTTTCTAGTTATAAACCCTTTACTTGCTTGAACCAAAGGTGATTAGTCTTTGTGGCCAGTATAGACCAAGGCCAGCCAGCCAGCACATCCATGCAGACCAACTTCAACTTATCAATAGATACCTTAAAATTAATAATGGCAAGTTTATTTCATAAATGAAAGCCGGACAAGCTTGTTTTAGAAATAAAGCAGACTAAGAATTTATCATAAGTTGATAGAAATAGTTTCAGAATTATTGCAGATGTATGTATTAGTGTCGGGTTTTAAATAACACCCGTATTATGAAGGTAATTCAGGGGTTCAAGCTTAAAAGAAATCTCATAAGGAACAAAAAAATTAAAAAAAATAATTTTAAAACGGGACAAATCTGTTGGTCAAAGTTTAGTGATGTAAATAACTCAAGGGTTTTCAATTTGATTAAAAAATTTATATCGATAAATGGGAAGACAAATATCGACGTTTGTATCGGTATAATGGAAGGACAAATATTGACATAGCCATATATCAAACTAAACAGTAAGATAAGAGAAAATAACTTGAATATGTTTTATAATGGTTGGAATAGTCTATTTTTATAACCCTGATGAACACTCGTGAGAGTCGAAACGTCAGTTATCATCATTAAATAAACCTTAAAACTTATCCTGTGTTGATTGTTTGTTCCACTTTTATTTTTTTTCTTGTATGTTTTATAAACTATGATCAAGGTCACTTTTTGTGATATGTGTGCTTGTTATAGACCTCAAAAATAGAACAAACTTAGAGAAAAGTTAGCGAATTAAAATTTCAGACATTTAGCGTAAGAAAATAATTAGCGAATCATGGATTTAATGACAGGTTGGTTAATATTTACGCTAGAGGAAAATTTAGCGATTTTCGTCAATTCGCGAAATTCGCCAATATTTCCGCATTGCTAACTTAACCACTTATACAGTAATTTAATTGAAGTTTATCATTTTCCAGGTTTGATTGTGGTTGGAATAGTCTATTTTAAGATGTCAGGTAAAACAGCATCTGTAACTAGTGCAGATTTCTCTCAGCAGAAATCAGAAGACAAACCAAAGGCTTCAGATGATCTCAGCAGTATCAAGGTTTTCCATAAAACAGATTTACAAGTCCCAGTTGGTGATAAGGTTTGTATGATATAAATTTTATATAGAGGATATTTGTTTAGTTCAGTGTAAGATCGGAATATATTTCACCGAGTGAGCATCAAAAGGTATATTTCACGAGTGGCGCAGCCACGAGTGAAATATGAACTTTTGGTGTTCACAAGGTGAAATATATTTCTATCTTACACTAAACTAAACAAATTTTCTTTTTATTACATGCAAAGAAACGTTTTAAAAAGACATAAAGCCTAATACTGAATGAAAAGCGCGCCAAATAATAATACAACGTGACGTCATTTACGACGTCACGTCATTAAGTTGGTACCCAGTACTGTGCACGCTGGTATTTCACTGAAACAACGTAAGGGGCTTAAATTCAAAACAGTGAAATTATCAAAGTGGTAATTTCACTGTTTCAAACAGTGAAATTACCAGTTTTATATCACTGATATATTTCTATAAACCACCGAAAAGCATGTAATAAATTTCATTTTTAGCTTGTTTGAGAGCTTTTAGAGGATTGGTGGCTGTCGATGGTCTGACTTTGTCATCTGACGTCGACAATAGTTTCAAATTACTTGAAACTATACATGGCTAAGTTTGATGTTTGATGCAAAATTGGCTGAACAGTTGTTTCAAATTACTCTTAAAACAAATGGCCTAAATTTTATCAAAATGGCTGGAATGCCGCATGACTTAATATATGATAAATAAAATGGCTGGATAGTTTATGGCTAAATTTGTTGTAAACAATGGCTGGAATGCTGCATGGCTTATTTTGATTTAAAGAAAAAAATGGCATGCTGCATGGCATAATTTGTTGAAGCATTTGCTGGAATGTTGCATGGCTAATTTTGATTTTTAAAAAAATGGCTGGAATGCTGCATGGGAGACATTATGACTTTATTTGTTGCAAAGAGGTCTTGCTAAAGAGAGGTTAGAAATCTATTGTGGCATTTTCCTTTTGGGATTATTAAGTGATACTGTTGTCAAAAATAAGTTATTGCCTTATGTACAGAAGGCCACTCTACAGATGTTGTACTATATCTGACATGGACATATTCCTTATGCAGGGTAGTGAGGTCATTTGTCAATTGATCTAGGTCAAGGATATTGACCTTGGGCTTGGTTTGAGGTCACTGTCAATTGATCTAGGTCAAGGTTATTGCCCTTTGGCAGGGTGTTGAGGTCACTTTGATCTAGGTCAAGGTCATGCCCTTGGGCTGGGTGGTAAGATCACTTTGATCTAGGTCAAGGTCATTGCCCTTGGGCCTGGGTGTTGAGATCACTTTGATTTAGGTCAAGGTCATTGCCCTTGGGCAGGGTGTTAAGGTCACATTGTCAATTGATCTAGGTCAAGGTCATGCAATGCATGCACAGAACAAGGGAGAGTGGCATGATTAGGGGTTCATGACCCCTTCCCGGGTTCATGACCCCTTCCCCCCTCCCATGAGATTTGACAGGAGTTTTTGTAGAATTGTACATTAGATATAATATTTACATTGACTTACGATTTTTTCATGAACATCAATCAAAAATTTGACTCATGGCCCCCTTTGGAATGCTAGTAAAATGTCAAACCCTTCTATGGAATATGCATTACCCCTTGTCAGAATATTGTGAACCTCTCTTGTAAAAAAAGTCCAGGATACATGTGTGCTTTAGCCCTCTTGTTGATTGTTTCATAGAATTATTTTAGAATTTCATATAGCTATATGGTTGCAGGTTTAGGAAGATATCAGTCTATATCTATCTCTGCTGTGTTGTAACATATGTTTTACATGTACATAAACAGCTGGGATAAAGAATTGATTGGCAATCACTATCATTACATACTACCCTTTGGATCAACTTTGAATTTAAACAAGTTTAAAGCTACATGTTTATTTTCGATGACTTTTTACTGAACTTGGATTATGATGCCACTGAATTGATAGATTTGGAGGGCTGAGTTTTTGGTCTGACTATCTGTTTGTAAAAAAACTTTAACCTTGAAATGACATAACATAGAAGTTCCTCCATACTCTGTGTCTTTTGATTGGCTCTGCCTACCAAACCAACTTAGAGGTCATAGGGTCAAAGGTCAAAGTTACTAGGGTCAAAGCCACCACAGTGGAATGAATTTCACTAGAACATAGTATAATTAAATTAATATCAACAGTTTTGCAAGCTTTTATAAATAGCAAGTTGGTTATTTTATGCTGTCTAAACTTTATTCTTTTATGTATATTGTCTTGAGTTTAATTTAATGTTTGTATACTGGTACCAGTAATTTAGGGATAAATAAGAATGTGAACTCTCTACTTCTGCAGGTAGTCACTGTGGCATACAGAGAAACAAAATGTGACGAGGCAAAATCAGATGTGCTGTTTCTACATGGCATGTCATTCAAATCGGAGACATGGGTTAGTAAACCTTTATGGACACTACAGCTGTTATACAAAACAGGAGGGTTTAGAGCTGTGGCTATAGATTTACCAGGTAATTAACATGTATATTACCCATCCTGTCAGGGACTTTTGATTGTTACGCAGGCTTTTGGAGAAGCTAGATAGCTGGCATACTGAAGGTCTGTGGTTGGTACTCAGGTGACTTCTTGTGCCCTAAAATAATGCATGGAAGGGCTCCTGAGGTCCACATCCATTAGAGAAGCTGGAAAGTTAATAACAGATTGATTATAAAAAATCATACATTCTGTATAATTTGCTAGACAACTATTATGCAAATTTAATCAACTTTGTAAACCTATACAAATACATAGCAGTCATACACATATAAATTAGGAGAAAAATTTGCAAGCAAGTCAGGCTAGTAACTGAGCAATTATTAACAAAATAAGGATTTTTAACCAATTTTGAAATCTACCAGTGTTTTTCTGTCATGCTAATGCTTATTTTGATCACTGGCACAAATTTGCCAAAATTCCCCCCAAAGTATAAATAAAATGTTTTGTAGTATTTATATATATATTTACACCAGTACAGAGATGTATTCTCTACAATTTGTTGATCTTTTACTACACAGGTTTTGGTGATAGTCCGCAGGCAGAAGTTGATCCTGCTGCTTTTATGGAAGCTGTAATTGCCAAACTGCAGTTAAATGCACCAGTGATTGTTAGTCCATCTATGAGTGGAACATATTCTCTACCATATCTCTTTAAAAGTAAGTTATTTGATCAGACAGCTATTTAGTTCAATGAGGAGAGCATCAAATTTGTAATATAAGTGTTGGTAGTTTGATCCTAAGGGTGCTGTGAATGTTCTCTGTTGCAAATGATCTCGGGCATCGACAGATTGCGTCTAGTGATCATGTATCTCTCACAGTTGATTCAGAAAGAAATCAAGTGGGGTTTAAACTTGATCTTTTTTTTGAGAAATTGGTAATTACTAGCCAGTAGAGTGTTATCCAGGAAAGTCGAGTAAGTGGGCCAACTGCAGAAATATCAGAGAATAAAATAGAGATAATTAAAAAGATGGAAGCAAATTTCCTTGTAACCTTTAATTTGCTGAATTTCTTTGATAGACTTGTATGGCAACTTTCAGTTTTTGAACTGTTCATAACTATTTTAGGGATGTCAAGATGATAAATTTAAAGGTACGGTAGTCAGCAGACAGGGTAGTCATACAGCATGGACTTAAATAGAGGCCTGGATCTAAACTAGTGGCAAAGGCTATTATTGTTTGGTTCCAACAGGGTTGAACACATCAGGGGATGTTTCTAAATTAAAATTTTGCCATTTTCATGTTTAAATGTTGATTTCTGCTTAAATCAGTGCAAGGTGGCATGGCCGGTAGCTTGCATTTATCACTACTGTCCATGAACAGGCTCAGTCAAATCGATCCTGCAATATTTTGAAATTTGCTGTTTTGAGGCATTCTTTAGGATTTTTTTTTCTGTCTTGTGTTTAAATTGAAATAATGTAATAACGAAATTCATATTTAGTTCAACGTGTATTATTTCTTTTACATTGATTTGTACTTTTTTTTATAATACAATGTATATGACTTTTTTCAGATGTGTCAAATGCATTGTCACGGTCAAAAGGTTTTGTACCAGTCGCTCCAGCGGGCACAGATAATTACAAGACCCAGTTTCCAGATTTAATGGTATACACTGTACAATGTCTTCTGTACAAGCTCAATTAATTAAAGTGACATTATGCCCTTGAGTTAACAGGATAAAGTCATAATAAGTTTACATTTTGCCATAAATCCTTTCAGTTTTATAATCTACTTCGCATGAAGGATAAATAACTCACATGGCACAAGAAAACTTGTGAAAATATTCATCAAAATTGACCTTGAGGTATGCCTCTTTGAAATAAAAAACGTATATTACTAATCTTGAGATATGCCGCTTTGAAATAAAAAAATACTCATCTTTAGGTATGCCGCTTTGAAACAAATAAAAATATACTTATATTACTCATCTTGAGGTAGACCACTTTGAAACAAAATAAATATATAACTCATCTTGAAGTAGGCCGCTTTGAAACAAAAATAAAAATATACTTATGTTACTCATCTTGAGGTAGACCACTTTGAAACAAAATAAATATATTACTCATCATGAGGTAGGCCGTTTGGAAACAAAATAAATATATTACTCATCATGAGGTAGGCCGTTTGGAAACAAAATAAATATATTACTCATCATGAGGTAGGCCGTTTGGAAACAAAATAAATATATTACTCATCTTGAGGTAGGCCGTTTGGAAACAAAATAAATATATTACTCATCATGAGGTAGGCCGTTTGGAAACAAAATAAATATATTACTCATCATGAGGTAGGCCGTTTGGAAACAAAATAAATATATTACTCATCTTGAGGTAGGCCGCTTTGAAACAAAATAGATAAATACTCATCTTGAGGTAGGCCGCTTTGAAACAAAATAACTATATAACTCATCTTGAGGTCTGCTGCTTTGAAACAAAAATAAAAATATATTACTCATCTTGAGGTAGGCCATTTGGAAACAAAATAAATATATTACTCATCATGTGGTAGGCAGCTTTGAAACAAAATAAATTAAAACTCATCTTGAGGTAGGCCGCTTTGAAACAAAATAAATAAATACTCATCTTGAGGTAGGCCGCTTGGAAACAAAATAACTATATAACTCATCTTGAGGTAGGCAGCTTTGAAACAAAATAAATAAATATTACTCATCATGAGGTAGGCCGTTTGGAAACAAAATAACTATATAACTCATCTTGAGGTAGGCAGCTTTGAAACAAAATAAATAAATACTCATCATGAGGTTGGCCGTTTGGAAACAAAATAACTATATAACTCATCTTGAGGTAGGCCGCTTTGAAACAAAATAAATATATTACTCATCTTAAGGTAGGCCACTTTGAAACAAAAATGAAAATATATAACTCATTTTGAGGTAGGCGGCATGGAAACAAAATAAATATATTACTCATCTTAAGGTAGGCCACTTTGAAACAAAAATAAAAATATATAACTAATCTTGAGGTAGACCACTCTGAAACAAAAATAAAAATATATAACTAATCTTGAGGTAGGCCGCTTTGAAACAAAATAACTATATAACTCATCTTCAGGTAGGCAGCTTTGAAACAAAATAAATAAATACTCATCTTGAGGTAGGCCGCTTTGAAACAAAAATAAAAATATATTACTCATCTTGAGGTATGCCGTTTGGAAACAAAATAAATATATTACTCATCATGAGGTAGGCCGTTTGGAAACAAAATAAATATATTACTCATCATGATGTAGGCCGCTTGGAAACAAAATAACTATATAACTCATCTTGAGGTAGGCCGCTTTGAAACAAAATAAATATATTACTCATCTTAAGGTAGGCCACTTCGAAACAAAAACAAAAATAAATAAATACTCATCTTGAGGTAGGCCGCTTTGAAACAAAATAACTATATAACTCATCTTGAGGTAGGCCGCTTTGAAACAAAATAAATAAATACTCATTTTGAGGTAGGCCGCTTGGAAACAAAATAAATATATTACTCATCTTGAGGTCTGCTGCTTTGAAACAAAAATAAAAATATATTACTCATCTTGAGGTAGGCCGTTTGGAAACAAAATAAATATATTACTCATCTTAAGGTAGGCCACTTTGAAACAAAAATAAAAATATATTACTCATCTTGAGATAGGCCTCATGGAAACAAAATAAATATATTACTCATCTTAAGGTAGGCCACTTTGAAACAAAATAAATATATTACTCATCTTGAGGTAGACCACTTTAAAACAAAAATAAAAATATATTACTAATCTTGAGGTAGGCCGCTTTGAAACAAAGAACTATATAAGTCATCTTGAGGTAGGCCGCTTTGAAACAAAATAAATAAATACTCATCTTGAGGTAGGCCGCTTGATAACAAAATAAATATATTACTCATCTTGAGGTAGGCCTCATGGAAACAAAATAAATATATTACTCATCTTAAGGTAGGCCACTTTGAAACAAAAATAAAAATATATTACTCATCTTGAGGTAGACCACTTTAAAACAAAAATAAAAATATACTTATATTACTCATCTTGAGGTAGGCCGCTTTGAAACAAAGAACTATATAAGTCATCTTGAGGTAGGCCGCTTTGAAACAAAATAAATATATTACTCATCTTGAGGTAGGCCATTTGGAAACAAAATAAATAAATACTCATCTTGAGGTCTGCTGCTTTGGAAAAAAAATATATATTACTCATCTTGAGGTAGACCGCTTGGAAACAAAATAAATATATTACTCATCTTAAGGTAGGCCACTTTGAAACAAAATAAGTATATTACTCATCTTGAGGTAGGCCATTTGGAAACAAAATAAATATATTACTCATCTTGAGGTAGGCCATTTGGAAACAAAATAAATATATTACTCATCTTGAGGTAGGCCATTTGGAAACAAAATAAATAAATACTCATCTTGAGGTCTGCTGCTTTGAAACAAAGAACTATATAAGTCATCTTGAGGTAGGCCGCTTTGAAACAAAATAAATATATTACTCATCTTGAGGTAGGCCGCTTGGAAACAAAATAAATATATTACTCATCTTGAGGTCTGCTGCTTTGAAACAAAATAAAAATATATTACTCATCTTGAAGTAGGCCGTTTGGAAACAAAATAAATATATTAATCATCTTTAGGTATGTCACTTTGAAACAAAAAAATATATATGACTCATCTTGAGGTAGGCCGCCTTGAAAAAAAAACTCATCTTGGGGTAGGCCGTCTTGAAACAGAAAAACATATTACTCATCTTGAGGTTTGGTGCTTTGAAACAAAAAACATATACATGTATTACTCATCTTGTGGCATAGAGGTATGCCACTTTGAAATAAAAAAAAAAATTATAAATTGATAAAAAAAGTTGCCCAAAAATGTTGATAAAGAAGAAACTGGCTATTTTTTTTACAGATTCCTAATCTGGTGATATATGGTGAGAATGATAAACGCTCGGGTGCTTCATCTGCGAAAAACTTTGAGACCATCAAACAGAAGACAGTGGTCGAATTAGCTGGAGCCAGGCATGCCTGCTACATGAATAAACCTGATGAATTCCACAAACATTTAATCGATTTTCTGAAAAAAATATGAAAAAAAGCGCAGACTGCTTAGTAATATACAAATGTAGTAGAAATATTGTGAAAAATACTACAAAATTGGCCATAAATTGCGTGTTACACAAATATTATTACTTTTATTTGAATCTTTTTACTTTTCTAAAAGTCATAGTACATTTTTATATGCCCGAAAAAATTTCGGGCATATTATGTTATAACCCCTGGGGTCCGTCCGTCCGTCTGTCTGTCCGAGCAAACATTTGATATTGATGAGCTTCATTCCGTAGTTAAATAAAGAACAAAAACTCATAAAATTCAAATTAAGAGCTATTTTTTTTGTTTTTATGGGCTAATTTTGCTTATGGACGTTGGTCCAGGTGTAGTTTATGAGCTGATTTGCCTCATAAATATCAAAAGTCCGTCTGTCTGTTAGCAATTTGGTTTCCGGAGCATAACTTAAGGTCCATTTGGCCCACAACATTCAAACTTCATAGGATGATTGTCCATATTGGGTAAAAGACCCCTTTTGCTTTTGGGGTCACAAGGTCAAAGGTCAAGGTCATTATTACTTTTAAACCAAATACAGTTTCCGGAGCATAACTTAAGTTCCATGTGGCCCACAGTATTCAAACTTCACAGGATGATTGTCCATATTGGGTAGAAGACCCCTATTGATTTTGGGGTCACAAGGTCAAAGGTCAAGGTCACTATGACCTTAAAACTGAAAACAGTTTCCGGAGCATAACTTAAGTTCTATTTGGCCGACAGTGTTCAAACTTCATAGGATGATTTTCTAATTGAGTAGAAGACCCCTATTGATTTTGGGGTCACAAGGTCAAAGGTCAAGGTCATTATAACTTTAAAAATGAAAACAGTTTCTGGAGCATAAGTTAAGTTCCATGTGACCCACAGTATTCAAACTTCACAGGATCATTGTCCATATTGGGTAGAAGACCCTTATTGATTTTGGGGTCACAAGGTCAAAGGTAAAGTTCAGTATTATCTTTAAACTGAAAACAGTTGCCGGAATGTAACTTAAGTTCCATTTGGCCCACAGTGTTCAAACTTCATAGGATGATTGTCCATATTGGGTGGGAGACCCTTAATGATTTTGGGGTCTCACGGTCAAAGGTCAAGGTCACTATTACTTTAAAACTGAAAACAGTTCTTCAATAAGCCATTTAAATTGCCTAGTTATTCCACAGGACCTATCATAATTTTTATTTTTGTATTTATTTATCTATGAGTTATACATTTATTAATTTTGTTAGATAAAAATTGTTATTTATGGAAAATAGGACAATGCAAACTTAATCTTTTCTTATACTATTTTGTAATAGGTATACCATAATAAAATGTGATATACACGAACAATCTGTAATCACACGAGTCAATTAAGCAGTTGTGAGAAGATTGGACAGTTTTGTAGAAATGTAAATTGACTGTATTGATATTTGAGTATATTCAAGAGCATAACTTAAGGTCTATTTGTCCCACAATATTCAAACTTCATAGGATGATTGCCCATATTGGGTAGAATACCCCTTTTGATGTTGGGGTCACAATGTCAAAGGTCAAGGTCACTATTACTTTAAAACTGAAAACAGTTTCCAGAACGTAACTTCTATTTGGCCCATAGTGTTGAAACTTCATAGGATGATTGTCCATATTGGGTAGAACACCCCTATTGATTTTGGGTCACACAGTCAAAGTTCAAGGTAGCTATTACTTCAAAACTAGAAACAGTTTCCAGAGCATAACTGAAGTTCCATTTGGCCAACAATATTCAAACTTTATAGGAGGATTGCTTTTTGAAGGAGGTAATACTTTATTTAATTTATGTAATGTCTTACAAATGCTTCATCCTTAGTAAAGAAAAAAAAACACTTTCGGGCATATGATGCTCCACCTAGCGGTGCTCTTGTTCTTAAGTTTGATTTTCTAGAAATATTTTGGTTCCTCTGGAGGCATGCAGCTTTAACATTCACTAGTTGGTTAAGACACACCCATCTGTATTTCTGTCTGTCAACATATGCCAATCTGTCAACATACATTCATCTGCCATTTTTTTAGATGGTTGAACAAATTTGTCTATGGTTAAGCGTATAACTTAAGATAGAATAGAACAATGGTTTGTATATAAAAGTTTGGATTGTTTTGTTAATGCTATAGTTCAAAGTCTGTCTTTTGTTACATATATGTACTAAAGTAATAATAATGTTTGAATTTTGATTAAAAAAACATGCTCCTATTCAAGGAAAAAAAGATCATTTTATTGGTCTTAATATCCTATTTTATATGGTTTGAAGCAAATTAACTTACTAAATGTATGACTTTTTTTGCTGCCAAGCACTGATTTAGTGTATGATTTTGATGTCTAGTGAAAATGAGGGTTTATATTTTAATGTCGAGCACTGCTTTGGTGTATCATTTTGCTGTCAAGTACTGGTGTAGGTTAATGTCAAGCACTGATTTGGCATATGATTTTGCTGCAAAGCACTGATTGATGTATGCTGTTAATGTCAATTACATTTGCTGATTTAATGCCTAGTACTAATTTGGAGAAAGATTTGGATACCAAGCACTGATTTGGTTTTTGATTTGATTTTGATGTCAAGAGCTGATGCAGGTTAAAAATTTAATGCCAAGCACTGATTTTGTGTAAGATTATAATGTCAAACATTTATGAAATTTTTAATTTTTGACCTCAAGCACTGATTTAGTAATAGTTTGATGCCAAGCACCGATTTATTATACAATTTCGAAACCAATCATTGGTTTTAGGTATAATTTTGATGCAAAGCACTAATTTAGTGTATGCCATAATGCCAGTCACTTTGTTAGATTCTTAGTTTGTTTGAGTTTTGTGTGAAAACTATTTTATTCAACTACAAAATTATATTTATAAATCACAATCATTAAACTTACTATTTGTATATGCCCATATACTTGTCACATGTATATGTTATTTTGCAGACAACTTTAACCATGTCCGTCTTCATTATGTAAGCTAAAGCCTCCAAACACATAACCTTGGAAAATTGACTCCATTTTAAAATCTGACCTTGACCCTTAAATAACTTTGACCGTTGAAGTTCTATTAAAAAGATTTTGATGTAATGCTTTTATGAAACAAACTTTAGGCTATGGGATTGCTGTTTAATAAATGCATTTTTTTGTTGCATACTTAATAATAGGTATTTTGAGTTATTATTAGATTTTTGTGGCTATGTTCAATTTCTTTGTCTTATGTGGTTTAATATTTAACTAGCTAACTCTTATTATAGGTAGTGTTATAGCTAGTTTATATGTATGGGATGAAAATAATATAAATCTCAATTAGGTGTTTATATTTTTTATTTTAATTTTTTTTGTAGAACATAAGAAATTTTTAACAGTTCATTGCTGCTGTTTCATTCACCTCAAAAAGTCTTACATTGACCTTTGCCACCAGTATAGAGCCAGGCCAGCCTGAGCATTCTTTTAAATCAACTAGGCTTTATACTGTTGGTAGCTCAATTTTTTCAATGTTGATATTGAAATCCCTTAAATTTTGAATGGATTGTTCCAAATTCAAATATGGGTGATTTCATTGTATAAATTCAGAAGGTTGCAGGTTATAGTTTTACTCTTTGTCAACTTTAAAACATTGGTTGATATTGGTAGTTTCCCTTTTCATGTGCAACATACAAATATAGAGGCCATATAATGTATATATTTTATTTATGTGTTTTTTTTACTTCCATTTTATTTATTATTTTTTTTTGAAAATCATATGCTTTGCACAGGCGCGCTATATTCTGTTCTAGGTACACATTTGCATACGCATCTGTGGCAGTATTATTGTGTTTTACTTATCCGTTGCTGTAAATAACTTTGTGTGTAATCCTTTATCATGTATATGAATTTTGAAATTGGGAAATTAAATTATTAATATAAACACTATTTGATTGATTTATTTTAAGAAAATAGATAACACCCAATACACTAAGCATATATTGAAATACAACAAAAACTCAGGTTTACATTTACTGAATTTATTCCAATAGTTTGGTAAAAGGATGGAATGATTTTGGCCGCAACATGTAAAACTTTTAGTAGTGGAAGTGAAGCCTATCAGTAATTTTCCATTAATTACTAGCGACATATAGAGACGATTTTTGAAAACATTGTAAAGCAACCAACAAATAGCAACCAGTATGTAGCAACCAGATAATAGAGACAATTTTTTAAACCAGTGTATATGCAACCAACAAATAGCAACCAGTATGTAGCAACCAATATTTTAGCAACCAGATAATGTGTTATTCTAGCTATTTAGAGGGTACGCGGGTGACTGCACACTATTAGTACGGACAGAACACCCTACCTCTGTATTTTACAGCGAGTTTAGCAAGTAAGCACTCTAATTTTTTACTCTAGTAAACGCTACATAGTTAGACCTTGTTTCTATGTGCTGGTTTGGTGCAGTAATCAACCTCCAACTACATAGAGTACAAGAAACTTGTAGTTTGTTTACCAGAACTGATAGGCTGACCTCCAAAAGACTAAAATTCCCTAGAATTTACGAGAAGTTGCGACAAAACAGAATAGGTAGTCGTGACTACAAATATAATGTTTCATATAACTTTAAAGTTCGTGTCTTTATACAGCAACTATTTAACTTTTGCAACTTTTAGAGTCTATCCTTTGCGTATGTTGAGGAGTGATACATGGAGAATGTTTTCAATTTCTAATCTTTGAAGTCCGCTTGTCCGCCTTTATTTGTGAATCCTCTTGTTCAGAATCCGATCTATTGCCATCTTTTTGTTGCTGTTAGGAAGTTTATTTAGACCTCATTGACCCAACATGCAGCTTGAAATTCTCTGAAATATAGATAACTCGGCAGCAGAATCACATAAAGTGATACATGTATATGATGAATAGATCTAATTATGTTATTTCATTAAACAAATGTTAATCCATACTTTCATTTAAAAGGGGTGTGGTGGGTGGGTTGCTGTTCTCTTGAGAGTTTGCAGGAAAAGGAAGCTGATAGGGAATTGCATCTTGGGTA